GAAGACTGGGCCGGGAGCTTGCCAAAGCAGCGGCCGGCTCCATGGAGCTCACGGCTAAATATGGCATTTAAGAATGTCCAGTTCCGCAGCCGACGGGAAAGGCCTGCTTCTGGCCCATGTGCGCCCCGGTGTCCAGGGAGCGGCCAGCCCTGCCTCCTATGGGCACCCGTGGAGGACTGGAAACGAGGTCTGCGTGTACCGCAGTGCACGCCACCCACGGGGACACAAGTTCAACCCTTTCTCTCGGATTCTGGCACAAGGCCAGAGAGCTTTAAAATGCCAAAGTCATTATTTTCAGACTAATGGGTAATGAGGCCAGATTAAAGGGGGGAAATGCTACCAGCTTCCACTGAGGTTTTTAGAGGTGATGAAACCTGAGTCTCTTGAAACAGAGCTGATTTTCAGCCCTGAGGGTGGGCACGGGCCAGCACGGTGACTCTTAAGCTTCCCCCAGGAGCACAATGCAGACTCCTGGGCCCTGGCCCCGGGCCCCAGGCTCTGCTTCAGAAGGAGACCCTGAAGCAGGGGGTTTAAGACCCAGGCTTCTTGAACTACTGGTATAAAGGAAAAAGGTGGGCTTTTTTATTTTTTTGGAGTAATCAGCCCATAGACAATTTCCTTGCTTAACTCCTAGAGGCCCCTTGCCAGTAAAACGAAGCTAGTAAGGTCTGGCCTGCCGGACTACTGTGGGGATCGAGAGGGATGTATAAGCTGCCCTTGGCAGCAGCGAGCCTGGCCCTAAGCACATGGTTGGTCGAGGAACCTGCCCGGCCTGGCCAGAGCCAGCAGGGCCCACTGAAGGTCTGGGTGGCCCTGCTCACGTTTCTTGTGTGTCTCCTGCCATCTGCTGCCTCCCCCCGTTTCCCGGGGCCCCTTTCCTGCCTGGCCTTGCGTGGCTAGGCTGGACCTTCAGAAGAGCTTCTCCCTGTTTCACCCCCACACCTCGGGGGAGGAACGAGCAAGGGGAAGGAAAGTGGAGAGGCCCACGGGCCGGGAAAGCTCTGTCCTCTCCTCCCTCCTGTGTCCACCTGCCCTCTGTGCCTGGCAGGGCCTGGCGCTGATCTAAGCAGCCCCACGCGAGCGCCTTGTCCCACCGCAGAACACCCGCAGGACTGCCAGAGGGTGCGTGTTGTCTCCATTTTACAGATGAGAAAACTGAGGCCTCTTGGTCCAGTTCTTGGGCCACTCCAGCACATTTTCAACACCACCCTCAGAGGGATTAAAAAAACTATAGGCCTGCTATGCAGGCACCATGTGCCAACAGACCAAAATCAAGGTTCCTATGTGGGTACTTAGGTAATGAGAAACAAAATGTTCCACAAAGTTTATCGGTGAAATTCAGAATATAATAATGAGCAACGTCTTTCATAATCTGGTTCTAAGGAGAATGGATTTTTGGGGGGAGGGAATAACACTTCCGTTGGGGTTCAGAGTCAGCGTTCCCCATCATCAGCTCAGTGTATACCATCTGTAGGACTGCAGACTGTGTGATCACCCGTAAGAAGCACTGTAAACTCGTGGGCCATATGAAAATAGGCCTTGGCCTGCTGAGGCTGCCATTGGGGACCACTGCCTGCAGGGTCGAGTCTCAGCCCCTTAACCTGCACGCTTGGCTGCAGAGCCTGGCTCCCTGACAGCTTCTTAAAAGGGTTTCACTCTCCAGCCCCCCCCTGCCCCACCGCCACTCCCCGCCACCCGTCCCAGCCTGGGAACTCCTGCCTCTCCCAGGCCATACTCTTTCCAGGGCTGTGCATTAAATACCTTCCCTGAACCCCTGTGCCCCCACCCAGCGAACAGTGCGAGAAATCCAAATATAAACTAAGGTATAATAAGGGGAAAACAACCATTATAAAAAGTCATGAGAATGTTTTGCAAATCTCTATGCCAATCAATCTGAATATGTAAATGAAAAGTTACCTGGAAAAAGACAGGTCACCAAAATGACCCCACTAGAGATAAAAAGCATCAACAAACCAATCTTTCTGCAGAATAGAGAAAATTGTCAGTCAAGTTCCCCATAAAAGAAGTACTAGCCCTAAAGAGTTTCACAGGAAGTACAAACCTATAAAGACTAGAAAGTTTTAACGCTGCACGAATTCCTTCAGCACACAGGAATTAAAGGTGAACTTCCAAATTACCTTTGTGAAGCAAATATTGATAAACAAATATAAATATGGGTTTGAAGATTTTAAAATAAATATTCAAAACATAATCAACCTCATATTAAGAAAATAATTCAATAAGAAGACCAAGGGCATCTATTCCAGGAATGTGAGGTTGATTTCAGACCACAATAAAATGCACTATATTAAGTGATCTAAGAAGAATGATTGGATTACCTTCACCAATGCCTGAAAAACATTTAATAAAATCCAACACATTTCTAATTAAAAAAAAAAAAAAACTTGTGAGAATAGAATGGTTGCTTCCTTAACATGATAAAATATATAAACCTTAGTCCTAAAGCCAGCATCTACTAAATGAAGAATCCAAGGAGATATTTCCATTAAGACCAGGAACAAGACAATGATGCCCACTATCTCCACTACTATTTATTATTGTACTGGCGGTATGAGCCAGTGCAATTAGGCAAGAAAAATCAATCAGAGTCATAACAGTTGAAAAACAAGAAGTAAAACTATTTGCAGATGATACAATAGAATGCCTGGTGAACCTGAATGAATCAATTCTCAAATCAATTCAGGCAAGAAAAGAAATAAGTAAGCTTGCAGAATACAAAATTAATATAGAGAAACCAAAGTCTTCACACACAATAAAATAACCAGATAAAAGTTATAATAGTGGATAAAACTCCATGTACAATAATACTAAAGAAGATGAAATGCCTAGAAATCAACCTAACAAGAAATGTGCAAAACTTATAAAATGTACACTTTAAAATGTGCCTAACTGATACAAAAGTAAACACCAACGAGTAGAAAGAAATTCCTGTTCCTGAGTAAAATGACTCGCCATGTGATAAAGACGTCCGTTCTCCTGAAGTTCATTTATAAATAACACAGACCTCCTAAAAACACCACCGAACTTTTTATGCAGTCGGACGAGGGGACACTAAAATTCAGGTGGAAGAGAAACATGCTCGAATACCTACAAAGCCTGATATTCTAGGAGGAGAAAACCCAAGAGCTGTGTCTAGTCCTATCAGATTGAACCCTGAAATCTCTACACTGAAAACAACGAGGAACAGGCATTTGAAAAAACAGAGAACAGTGGAATGGAAGAGAAAGCAGAAATGGACTCAAGGACACATAGAAATGCAGTATATGATAAAGGTGTTATCTCCCAACTGGGTGGCCATTAAAAAAAAAAAAAGATAATGTTAGATCCATACCTCACAACGACCACACATATAAACTCCAAATTAAAACAGAAATAAATATATCAGTGCTGTATAAGGGTATATCAAGAGAATAATTAAAAAGATGGATAAATAACACTACATGAAAATTAAAAATATATTTGCATGGCAAAAAATAATTGATAATTCATTTCAAAATATATGTGTATAAGAGGATTACTAATGCTTTTACCAAAAAAAGTGTTAGTTTAAATCAACTACGAAAGTGAAGTCATCTTATGTAAATAAACTCTTTATTAAGGACCATTGATTTTATTTATTTTTTCAATCCTCACCCAAGGATACGTTCACTAATTTTAGAGAGAGGGGAAGGGAGACAGAGAGAGAAACATCGATTGGCTGCCTCCCACATGTACCCTGACAGGGGATTGAACCCATAACCAAGGTACGTGCCCTGACTGGGAATCAAACCCACAACCTTTTGGTGTACAGGATGATGCTCCAAACCACTGAGCCCTCCGGCCAGGGCTTAAAATGCTCCACTTATAAAGAGCACAAAGGAGGGAGGAAGGCGACCCGCGGGACGGAGGGAGAGAGGCCTTTCCTCCGCAGTGGTGCCGCTCCAGCCTTACCTTGCTCAGTTTCCTGTGGGCCCCGCCGAGGTTCCCCTGTGCCAGGTCGGCCTCGCCCAGGAGCCGGTACGTCTCTGCCACCTCGAGACTGAGCTCGCCGAACACCCCGACTTTGGCCTCCAGGGACTCTCTCAGGATCGAGGTTGCTCTCTGCGACAGGAACAGAAAGCTCTCTGGTGACAGAAGGTCCAAGGCTGATGAAGGTCAAGTCCTCTCAAGAAAGTGACGTGGCTCACGGGCATTTTCCCTTCTGAGGACAGTGGGTTTGGGTTGACTGTCTCATGAGCTGAGCCTCCTTTCCTGTGGTTAAATGGGAGGCGGGGGTGATCCCCAGGGAGTGGGGGGAGGGGGGAGGTAGGAAGAGAGAACGCATAAAGACACATGGGGAAGAGCCACTCCGGGGATGGGAAGAACCCATCTTAGCTGAATAGCAAGAAGAAAAAGCTGCGTGGATGTGTCCTTTGGGTGACAAGAGCTGTGCTAAAGAGCTGACACGTGTGGCCTCACTTAATTCTCACGGCCTCCTCCAGGCAGGACAGTTGCGACCCTCATTTGACAGAGGAGGAAACTGAGGCACAGCACTGCGGAGAAACTAGCCCACAGTCGGGCAGCTCGTTGGTGGCACAGACAGGATCTGAGTTGGCCAGGGACTTTCATCCTTTCTGGTGGCAGGCGGGGTGTCCTGCCTCTGGGCACCGCGACATCCTCGCCTTGGTGAGAACTACCATTTCCTGGTGACCTTCTCGTTTACAGAACGCCCCAAACACACTGCAGGGCTTTTTATTTCTCATAAGCCACCGTGTATGAGACCGAAAGCAAACATTCCAACATGCTAAAGAATTAAATATAGTTGACATTTTGTTTGGGCTTTCTGATTTATTTATACCAACAGGGAACAAAAAACATGAGTTGGTCAGAAACCAGTATCTTTCAATAGTAATGCCTTTGGTCAGACACGAAAACACAGAGGGAAAACTCTCTCTGTGGACATCCCACATTCCTCCTGAAGTTCTTCTAGGATCGGCCGCAAGGCGAGATGGCAGCTGCGGAACGGGACACTGAGTTTCAGGGCGAGCGCGAGCAGGGGCAGGGGCAGGGCCACGCCAGCTTGAACGCGTCCTGAAAGCCTTTCCAGACAGAAGAAGCTCACAGGGCCTCACTCCTGTGTTGGCAGTAATATGACAAGGTGTTTGGGGAACCACAGCAAAGGCGCCGATGGGGCAGAAAAATTTCACAGGTGGAAAGAGGGTCCCCCGGAAGGGACAGGGACACTGCGTCAATCAGGAACGTGTGACCCACCTCAGTGCATGGGGGGACTTGGCTGATGCCAAAGCCTGTCACAGGCAGGGACATCTGTGAGCAAGGACTTAGTGCGGTGCAGGGCTGGGAAGTGGCTGCCAGGATGCAGGAGGGCACAGCCCGACTGTATTTCCTACATGAAGTTTTCCGTGCCATCGTCGGCCTGACCGGGGGAACCTGAGTGGCAAGTTGCGGTGGCAGTAGCAGAGATGCCACAGGGGCTGCGAGGACCGACTGAGTCAGCCTTGAGGAGTTGGGAAGGGTGAATGGAGAGGGGAGTACAAAGCGGGCGTGGGAAACAAGGGTGGGTGTGTGATGGGAGGAGCCCGTGGCGGGTTCAAGGCCAGTGAGCGGACCTATCTGGCTGAAGCTGAGAAAGTAGGAAGAGGAGCCAGGAGAGATGAGGCGGAGTCACAGGCTGGCCTGGTAGGAGGGCCTCCGGGCCAGGCCGAGGGGCTCAGAGAAGGTTCTGGAGCAGGCAAGAGGCATAACTAGAAGACAAACCCAAGAGGGACCCTCACTTAAATTTTACCTTATGCCACATTTTCCTCCCACAAGATCACCTCCCTGTTGGCGCAGGGATCTAGCCCAGGTGCAGGCTGGGGGGTTGATGGTCCAGCCCTCCTCGGGCCATGGCAGCCGGAACCCACAGTGAGCGGGTCAATGGGGAGAGGGTGAAAGAAGAGTAGGGTGCTGCACCAAGGGTGAGAACCAGCAAAGTTGCCACGTTTGGTGGGCACAGGGGTAGGGAGGGCCACGCTCCAGCCTGTGTCCTGCTCCATAAGTAACACACCTGGGCATGAGCTGTTTCCCAGCCAGAGCCCCGGGCTGCAATAAGCAGGGCCTTGGGATCCCTCTGTGGGTGGGCAGGGTGACTACATTCTCGCAAACAACTGAGCAAGGGCCTGACAGTGGCCACGTGGCCTTATTTCCCCACATCCCGGGGGCCAGTTGTGTGCCGTGCACATAGTAGATGCCTGCTGGATGCTTGCAGAAGGAAGGAGTTGAGTGGCCCTCTGGATACCAACTGGGCTGCGCATGTAAAAACAACTAGTCAGCTGCAGTCCAGACTCACCTCATCTTGACCACTGACTTGGAGAAAATGGCAATATTCATCTTGAATGGAGAGAAACTTGGCTTTCGCCGTCCCCTCGGCACCCTTCAGCTTGTCTAGGCTCTTCTGGAAGTGCTTCTCCGCCACACCTGCAGAAAGAGCATCGTAGCAACAACCGGGAAAACTGCTGGCCAATTTGAAATGGGAACGGAATACATGTGCCTTTCATGGCACGGAACTATTAGAAAATAACAAGCATTTGAATAAAGGAACCCAGTTAAGGAAACTGTCTTTCTCCCATTAAGCTGCCTGTTTCATCGGAAAAGATTTAGGTCTCAGAAGGATACGGCCGTGTGCTTTCCACATACCCCAGCTCTCTCAGTGATGCAGGAAAGCAAACTATCCCCCCGGACTGACGATGTCGGTAAGTTTCCAGGCTCATTAAGGAACCCCCTCTCTTTGAATGGTGGTCTGTCCACGGCCAGACCAACAGATGGGTTTATAGAGCATCACTCCAAATTTTCTCTTGACAAGAGAAAATTCCACTGCATGGAAAATAATATCCTGCCCTGGCTGGTGTGACTCAGTGGATTGAGCACCAGCCTGTGAACCAAAGAGTCACTGGTTCAGTCCCCAGTCAGGGCACATGCCTGGGTTGCAGGCCCCGTCCCCAGTAGGAGGCACACAAGAGGCAACCACACAATGATGTTTCTCTCTCTTTCTTTCTCCCTCCCTTCCCCTCTCTAGAGATAAATAAATGAAATCTTAAAAAAATAGAAAAGTATTGCATCCCTTTTACCCACAGCTGACTCATGGGGGATGACGTCCCAGATTTACTGCTCAAACTAAGCATTAACTTCGATTAATCTGATGACAGCTGACGTGACCATGATGTGGCATTTATTGTGTTGGCTCTCAAACCGTGACAGACATCCGCATTCCATGTCTCGAAATTAATGCGGATATTCAGGAGTGGAGTACTCTTCATATGTTCGTTTTCTGTCTAATTGGAAGTGAACCAGATAAGGGAGCCAAGCCCTTCTCTCCTGGCAAGGATCTTTCCGAGTCTCAGCCTCGTTTCCCCCCACAGGCGAGCCTTTTCTATAAATACCTGCAGCCGTGAAGGGTGCAAGAAGGAGCAGGGGTGGAACGGGCGGGGACTGACTTTCGGACCCTGGGTTTTGGCAGAAGCAGTGGTGTTGAGGTCAGAGACGGGCTGCCCAGAGGGATGGGGTACATTTCCCTCCCCTTTCTGGGTAAGAGCGCGATCTCTCAGACCCAGGTGGACACAGCCGCTCTTGACACCTTTCCACCCCTTGTCAATTTCTCCCACCCGAGTGGTCACATGCTGACCAGCTGCCCCCCAAAAGCACCCCCACTGAAGCGAGTCCCCTAAACCTGATTGCTGCCTGCTCCTTTCCCTCAGTGGAGCTGATCTCACGGGGATGCTGGGAGAAAGGAAGCTGTTCTGCCTAATTCAGACTAGTGTGTAAATGGGTTATAGCCTCTGACTCAGGAAGACCAATTCGCATTTCCCAGAGAGGGTGCTTGTCAGCACAGATGGATCTCTGGAAGAAAGGCAGCCAGGGAGGAAGGAAGGGAGGGGAGGGAGAAAGGAATTTATTAAACTGAAGGCAGCATGACTACTGAGGTGAGAGGAAGCTAGGCGTTCTGGTGGGAGGTAGGGAATTCCCGGCCCTGCCTGGGAATCTGCCCTCTGGGGTCAGCCTGCTTCCGTCCTCCACACTGGAGTCCCCAGCATTTCTAAAGGTCCAGGGTTTTCCCATTTCTGTCCCGGGAAGGTCTCTGGTCAGAGGGAGGCAGGACCGGACGGGGGAAGGGGGGGTTGTAGTTCTCGGACATCTGTCACCACAGGCAGCTCGAGCACACACCAGGACCCTCGTCCCTCAGAACTAAAGCCCAGAAGCAGAGGAAGGTCTGGGGCGCCCGCTGTGGGCACCTCCCCTGTCCGCCAGCATGAAACCGCTGTCATCTCCCCCCTGACCGAGACCCTGATCGACTTCTCTCACCCCTCCAGAGCCCCAGGTTAACTTCCTGAACTCTGAGCCACAGGACTGGCCTCGGAGGGGACAGAAAATCGGCCCAGCTAAGGATAAGCAATTTGTTCTCCTGGGAGTGGGGGGGGGTGCATCCATCTGGGACACGGGACAGCAGGATTTCCAGAGGGAGAGGAGGTCCCATGAGATGCCACTCCCCAGCCTGCACCTTGTGCTTGCACACGAGGCCATCCCTATCTTTAAAAACCTCTTCTAGAATCCTCTGCAACCTGATGCCCTGGGCGGAGGGTGAGGTCATTTTCTAAAGCAGAGCTGCATGACTGAGCTTATCCATCTGAGCCCTGGGGGCACAGGGCAAGGCCTCGAATCTGCCATTTTCACAGCAACAGAAAGGTCGGAAATGCAGGAGGAAGTGTGGCTTGGTAGGCAGGGTGGCCGAAGGTCCCCTCAGGGCCCCGGGGACTCAGTTCCACCTGCAAGCTCCCGAGAAATGCTCCCTTCACAGAGCAAGGGGAATACAGGGTCGACGTGGCCCTCCGGGGGTCAGGGCACTTTTAATTAAAATAAATCCCAGGAACACTGGGCTCATTGGCTGGAAGCCGCCTCTCCCAGGCCAGCGCTGGAACAGGGAGGACCGCTTTCATTAAGAGAGAGGCCTGCGTGGACGGGGTGACAACGATCTTTTGTGACAGTGTTGAGAAATAGTGTGTACTCTGCACTAACTGCGAAAGCATGACGGACCCCAGGGAATTCTTTGAAAATGGAAAGTCTTAAAGCCTCACTTGGCATCCACCCAGCCCATGAAGGGACTGAGCCCATGTGCAGCCTGCTGGGGGCTGGCCTGAGGGAACCCGCCGGGCTGGGGTGGGGGCAGCCTGAGGACAAAGGCCAGGACGGGCAGCCCTGTGGTCCCGGGAAGTCTAGGGCTCTTTCTTCTGGCCTCGACCCCACTCACCACCAGGAAGCGATCAGGGCCAGGCCAGACCCCGCCACCCCTTGGGGCCGCCCAGGGAGTGGCCAGGTGTCCAGCAGCCTGTTGTCCCGGTTCCTCATCTTGGGGAAGCATATCCGTTTTCCACAAGCCGCCCTAAAACCCTCTTTGAAGCCACGTCAGGGGTGTAAACAGCAGGCTTTTCTGAGCAGTTCTGAACACAGCGCACAAGCCAGCACCAAACTGAAACACTGGAGCCTCACCCAGGGGTTTCGGGGCGCGCACGCCCTTGGCCCCTCCCCGGGGGAAGACTGAAGCCACAGACCTGGTTCTGACACAGAGATGCAAGCAGAGCCCGACAGGGTTTCGGCTCTGCCCCAGGATGTCCGTCTGGGAGGAGAGACCAACAGCACAGACTCACGGTGAAGAAGAGGCCACACCCCCCTTCTTTGCTGGCCCCAAGAGCTGCCCACCCCTGCAGTCACACCTTCCTGTCCTCCGGGGCTTCCGGGCGCCCTGGACCCCTGGTGACAGGACTCCTGGGGCATCGGCCACCCAGTGAGCAGGGAGTGGGCTGGGCAGGGCCCAGCGTGGGGCAAGCTGACAAGGCAGGTCCAGGAGGAAGAGTTAAGAAAAGGGAGGGCTCTGTAAGGTGAGAAAGAGGAGCTCAATGGAGATACAGAGTTTAGCGTGAGACACATAGCTCCTGTCTACAGTGCAAAATGAGGGGAGGGCTGGTTCCGGTGGGGGCCAGTGGGGAGATGAGCGTATTTCTGCACAGGGAATTACATCTCAAGAATGCACCCCACGCTCCCAAGTCTGGTCCATACACCCAGGGGTCCCGCCCTGTGCCCCCAAGGCTCGGAGGGGACACAGGCTGTTCCATTTTGATGCCTCTGGATGCTGAGGAGCTTCCCAGGCCACAGGGGCCCAGGCCGAGGATGGGGCTGCTTCCAAACAAGGCCGCCTGGGCTCAGCACACTGTGCCTCTCCAGGGTTTACACTGAGATGTGCTTGGCTCCAGCCCAGTCCATCTCAATAATATCCTTTACGAGAAGAGTTGTAAACCCACGGCCAGTGCCCTGAGCACTGAGCAGGGCTGGGCGGGCTGTGGATACCAAGTTTGTCTATGGCTGCTCCGGGGGGGCCGGCCTGGCCCAGGTTAGGGACATTCCCGGAGCCCGAATCAGGAGTCCTTATGCAATCAGCCTCCTCCGTGACTTCTAGGGCAGTTTTGTCTGCGTGAGGAATGCGGGGTGGGGGTGGGGGCCTCGCAGCAAAGGGAGCAGCTCCAGTGAGAAGCCTGAAACACGCAGGCTTCTTAGCAGTGACTTTTTTTTTTTTAATCAGAGGGCAATACCTTCCATGGGCATGCAGCAGCCCGGCCATGGAGACTCCCCAGATGAGAATTTTTTTTTCTCATTAATTATTCTTTAAAAACAAAACAGAAAACTGTACTCAGCACAGGCAGGTGAGGCCCAGAGCAGGGCTGAGATTCCACACACAGGAGTTTCCTTGGCACCCGGTGGAGCCCACGGGATCTGACCACCCTCATCACGTCAGGCTCCGTGGGTACAGGCCCAGCCCTCACATTTGTTCTGTCTCACTCCGAGCCCGGAACGTATCTCAGTTAGTTACCACCGATTATGAACCGATTTCACAAAGAAATCCAGATTTCCACTTTCTCTTGAAAAAGCAGATGATCTGCAGACCTAATGAGCCTGTCGTCCACATGACAGCGATGGGCTAGAGCTGAGTAACAGCTGCTCGCTTTGGACAGGGTACAGGTTTCTCCAGTTTGCCACAGCCCTCACCACTCCCTATCGTCTCTCTCACTGGATAGCCAACAGGTACCTGCCACGTGGAAGTATGCTTGCTGCTGCTATTGCTTCTTCTGTTTTTCTTAATTTTTTAAGAGTATTTATTTACTATATTTTTTAGAGAGGGAAAGGGAGAAGGAAAGAGAGGGAAAGAAACATCAGTGCGTGGTTGCCTCTTGCGTGCCCCCCACTGGGGACCTGGCCTGCAACCCAGGCATGTGCCCTGACTGGGAATCAAAACAGCGACCCTCTGGTTCACAGGCCAGCACTCAACAACCGAGCCACACCAGCTGGGGCTACTGCTTCTAATAACCACCCGCTTCACTCACACTGCTTAGCTGGTTCCTACAGACATTTAGATTTGTGACTCCAGCTATTCCAGGGGTTTCCATCAAACGTGCATTTGCATTTCAAATGCCTTGTAGCAGCCGTGGAGTGGAAGGCTTTCCCCCCTATTAAAGGAATTTTAGGCACCATTAAGCTGCTCAAAATGTTGGCTCCTTAAGAGGCTCCGAAATAGACTGTTATGTAAGGTGCGTCCTAAGGTGTGAGGAGCAGAAAGGCCTCTGGCCTTCTCTCCCATCTGCAGACGGGCTTCTCTAGCCCTGAGAGCTGCTCTAAGCTCCAGGAGACCAGAAGGAGGGATCTATAACAAGGACAGGAGACACAGGTAAACCCGAATCCCTGTGCCAGCCCCGCCCCGGACGGAGCCCCAGCCCGGCCCACAGACCCACAGAGCAGGCGGCTCACGGAGGCCTCTGCTCCCCGTCCCCGTCCCTCACCAGCCTCCTCCTCATCTGAGCTCCACTCCTGCTTTCCGAGCCCAGCCCCAGACCATCCTGAAACTGATGTTGGGCTTGCTGGCTCCTTGGCCCTTATTTTCCTATTCTACAATTCCCTTTATCTGACATCTTGGAATACACCCCTAAGTCCTCTTTGTGCATTGTACTCTGTTCCTGCATATTCTGACCGAAAAACCAAGTCACTGGAACGTGCGTCCTCCATCAACAGAGGCGTGTGGTATGGCCTGGTCCCAGGGTGGGGGGGTGAAGAATTCCCGAAGCTCGCCGCGCTGCCCTTTATGTGCAGCTAAGAAAATCCCTGTGAGTCACAACAGGCAGCTTCCTTTGGGAGTCCCGAAACCGCGCCAGGCCGTCCTAACTGGGAGCTCAGCGCTGTGAGGGACTGGACACGGGTTCCGGTGGGCCACACCTGCCGCCACAGCAGCTGCAGAGCCACCTTTAAAAACAGACACCGGTGAAAGAGGAGACGTCCCTGTGGGTGCAGCACGGGTTCTCTGGGGCTTGTAAAAGCTGTGTTTAGGTGGAGATCGACTGTATTTGAAAGTCAAAGACCAGAGGAAGGCTGAGCGGGCACAGAGACCTGAGGGACACGCTACGGATGGCTGGATAAAGCCACAAGGGCTTTCCAAGGGCCTGTGTCCCAGCTCTGCCCAGGAAGGTGGGCTCTCACCGTGGTGCTCCGGCCTCCCAGAAGCCACGGCAGCGCGGGCGACCCAGTGCGCGGACACCGCAGCCTCCTCTTCAGACGGCTCCGCGTTCAGGACGATGAGATGTGCCTGCCGCACGGGAAGAAGAAACACACCTGTTTACCTGCATGGCAGCAGCCTCAGGGGCCTCGCTGTTCTTGCAGCGAGAAGCAGAATGCCAAGGAACGTTCTAGCAAGTGACTCATGCGGAAGCACAGTCCCCTCGTGGGTGACATGGGCTTTAAAAGCATTGTCCAGTGGGAGAGAGGGAGGAAGCACAGGGCAGGGCCCATCGCTAAGTAAACCATTTAGAAGCGTGTGCTCCTGTGGGGGCAGCGCCGGCAGCGGAGGAGGGGGAGGGATTCAGGAGGAAGGCGACCAATTAGAAAGGGCCAGCGCCGTGCAGAGGAAGGAGGCAAGCCCAGGCCCCTGCCCACTGGTCAGCCCAGCCATGGGCACCAACCCCTCCCCGGTGCCTTCCCCACAGAAAGCTGGGTCCCTTCCCCAGGCCTTGCCCAGCCAGCACGGCTGCCTGCCTTCTCTGCAAACTGGCCCGTGAGAGACAGCTGCCCAGCACAGAGCCCAGCTCGGTGCCTGGAAAATAAAGTCTGTTTTGAAATTCTTAAAAAAAAAAAAAATACATCCCTATGATCCTGTGATTGTAATAAAATAACGATAACCCTTGCAAATCAAATACGCTGCTTCAAGTAAAAAGATATAAAACACAGAAACAAACAAAAAAGGTGAAGTCTGCCTGTCAACATGGGGAGTTTTAAAAATGCGTTATTAGTTACGCATTTACATTCATCCGATGAACAGATACGCACAGGCTGCCCACTGCAGGAGAGGCGGGCGCCAGAAGTGCGGGCAGCACAGGGGGAACAGAGAACACGAAGTCGCTCAACAGACCCGTGGGAGCGGGTAGGGGGCTCGCGGTTAACTGGCGGGTTTACACTACGAGTTTAAAGGAAACACTAGATGGGGGTCAGCCAAACACCCCACCGACAACTAACATTTCAGCTGCAGGCTTCAGTTCTTTTTCATTTTCCACTTTAATTTTCCTTGCCCTTGTTTTTTACAGGGGAGAAAGCTGAGGTTGCTGAGTGAACGGGTGACTTCTTCCGCCGCGTCAGGACGGCTGCGTGCCCATCCCGCCCTGGCCCATGGGGGGGCTGGCTCACTACTGATGCCAGCCCACTCGGCGGTGCCCCCTGATGCATCCAGCCTCCAGGAGCTGGATGGTCAACGCCACACCACTGCAACCTTGCAGTCCACACCAAGCAGTGAGACGGGGGAGCCATAAAGACTGGCTCCTCTGATGGCCAGCTGAATGCATTTCTGAGACGGTCATCAGCGTAGACCGTGGGCGGTCACCACATTTGTCACATGTTAAGGCCAACTCAGTTAGTAGCTCCGGACTCCCCGTGACAGGGGCCGCTCCTGACCAAGGGGGCTGGTCCTTTCTTGTACTGCCGTGTTCGATCCATCAGGGTTCATACTCCTAAACGCCAACAATAAGTACGTTTGTTATCACGGAGTATAAATAAAGCGAAGAAGAGATGCTGGCAGCCCCCAGAGCCGTCATCATCCTCGATTTGGCCGGGGGCTCTGACTTGAAACGCTTTTCAAATACTGGGCCCTCCGGAAAGGCGGCAGACAGCATGCAAGTGAAGAGGACGGAAGCCCCAGGGACAGAGTCCAAGGACCAAGTGTTCTGAGCGAAGGGCAAAGAAGCGACAAGGAGATACCCACATGCAGACTGAATCACGCTTATTCTGTGTTCTTGCCCTGGGGCAACTGTGTCTACAACCCGACACTGCAGAGCGCAGCCTGCGAGCCCAGGAAAGACTTCGAATCACAATGACTTCACACAGGGGTGGGCAAAAGGAGGCTCACAGCTGCAGCACAACTTTACCCCACCCCCGTGTTTTGTTTCAACCCCCCTTCACTGTTCGGGTGGCTGCGCAGCTTCTGGTCCTGTGCCACCCCCACACACTCACTTTCTGTCCACGCCCTCCTGCCAGCCCTTCAGGTCTGGTCCAGCCTACAGTGCACCGTCCATCACGGTCAATGTCAAAAACACCCTGAAGGCCACTGAAGCGGTATTTGGGGTGGTGCACAGGGGGGATCTGCCTGAATACTCAGCAGCAGGGGAATGAATGGCATGAATGGACGGTGGTCGATTCACACAGGAGTTGGACCCCATCTACGCACCTTAACGTAGTTCTGTTTCCAAAATGTGCCACTGGGCCAGCAACTTACAGAAGGACGCCAAGCCCCTGGCGGCACCGATGTTCAAGCTCCTGTTTTGAAGCAGAAGGACCCCTCCCGGATCTCAAACAGAATCTTCCATGTCTCTCCAACAGACAAAGCAGGGGAGAGTGGGCTGCTCCCTCGGAAGCAGGTGGAGAGGGCCTGGAACCTGGCAGAGGGAGGGAGGGACAGAGGGAGGGAGCTCACACAGATCAGGCACCTACTTTTAAAAGCCAGGCACAATGCTCTGTGAATGACACGCACCAGCCTGCTTCATCTCAAAGTGGCCAGCGACAGGGAAAACAGCCCGGTTTCCCAAGGGGGCAGGGAAGCCCCAAGGAGGCTCAGCGCCTGGCTGCAGGTCACATGGTAGCCGAACATGGGGTCGCACGGAGGCTCGTGACTCCACATCGCAGGCCTGTCTAGTCCAACAGCTGGTGACAAAGAGGGGCAGTGTCACAGAAGGATGAGCCTCCGGTCGATGCAATGAATCACCGCTTTGGAGTCGGAGTTGCTAAGTGGTAGACTTGGCCCCCAAACGGAGTTGGCTGGGCAGGGAGGGAGGGTGAGCTGACTGCGTGAGGCTGGCCACCTGAGCAGCCCTGGGGACGAATTAGAGCGGGGCACCACAGAGGGGAGTCGGGCTGCGGGTGGCGGGTGCAGCAGGTGTCAGGGCACCTCCCCGCAAGGGCCTGGCTTCCTGCTTTGATTCAAAGCTGCGCCTTAATTCCACAGAAGCTCAAGTTCACTGGTCACTGCAAGGTGTGAGCTCCCTGATTCTTTATAACAAACCAGCTGTGAAGCCGCGTAGCTTTCTCTGTCAGTCCTGCCCAAGCATCGAGCATCCGAGCTGACACCCTCGTGCAAGATCGGGTCATGCTGAAGCCCAAGGGTGCCACTTCCTTTCCTGTCCTATCTCTGCCCAGTGGGGAAGCCTTTTGTGGCTGCACACACCAGGGCAGCTGCAGGGGTGGGGGCGGGGCTGGGAATCCCCAGGGGAGCAGATGAAAGGGAACTCACTGGGTGGACGAGCCATTGGAAAACAGAGTTCTCAGGGCCCTGGACCGAGCTAGTTTCTTTTAATAGTCAGAGAAAGTCCTCACTGGCGGCTCTCCAGCTGTCAATTTTAGCTCCTCCAGAGGGCTGGAGAGGAAAGGCCCTCCTCTCTCTCTGAAAGGTTAGCGCCAAAATAGATGTGCCGGGGGCTTGTACGTTCCCCCTCTTGTAGTTCCATGTGCGCGCTTTCTTAGCACCGAACTCTGTGTCTACATTTGGACAGTCACGTCTGCACATAATTTTTAAAATCCTAAGTGCGAGAAAAGAGGGAACACGATTGTAAATGCCCCCTCCCTCCTGTCGGTAAGTGTTACCTTCGCTTCCCCCCATTCCCAGTCCGATTCCTTACAGGTCGTCTCTGTCCGCAGCGTCCTGTGTGTCCTCTGTCCTCTCAGAAACACCGGGGTGCTCTATACAGACACGCGCACGTAGATAGGTGCATGTTTTTACACACACACACACACACACACACACACGCACAGACATGTGGAATCATTACCTGGCTCCACCTTTACCTCAGCTCCATCGCCCACCCCGCCCTCTGGGCTCTCTCTCCCCCTCCACCTTTGGGGTGTCTCCTTCTCGAAGGCCCTACTGGGGGTGCCAGCACCTGGTACTCCTCTCTCCCTGCAGCGCTTGTGGTGGCTGTAGTTTGAGGTTGGCCTGCATGATGATCCAGCTAAGGCCCCTCTCGCACACTAGGCTGCTCCTTGCAGGCGGGGCCCGGACCCCTGAACCTTCAGTCCCAGAGCCCACCGCAGGGTGGGGTTTCATCAGCTGTCGACGGACAGAACACCTGGCCCACATCTGGCTTTTGCGATTAATAACACACTCTGAACGTCCGTCACATCAGAGCCTACACAGCCGCCCCCTTCTCCTCGGTGGCTCGCACGGGTGTCCAACCTTTTGGCGTCTCTAGGCCACACTGTGGGCTGTTGTGGGCCACGCATGAAAGACACTTCGACACATAATCACAAAAAAAACCCTCATGTTTTAAGTTACTTTATGACGCTGTGCTGGGTGGCATTCCCAGCCACCCTGAGCCCGCACGGCCCGCGGGGCACCGGTCAGACACCCCTGCTCTGGAGTATTCCATCGTAATTTCATAATCACTCCCCTAGGAATGGAGTGTAGGGTATTTCTAATTTTCCACTGTTGCCGATGACACCGTGTCATTGTCCTGAGAGCTGCGCACTCTTGTACACAGCTCTCCCTTAGGTACGTTTCCGACGCTGATGAGTCGAAGGATTGCTGCGTTTCAAAACTGGAGAGGGGATATCGATCGCCTTCCCCCCCGAGAGGTGCCGACCCCCACTCCTACCAGCAGGGCGTGAGGACACCGGCTTCCCCACGCCCTTGCCATCACAGGGCACCTTTGAACTTAAACAACAGCATCTCCTAGGTTCAATGATATTTCTTTAGGAACAAAACGAGGCTAAGGATTATTTTTGTGTGGTTACTGGCCTTTTGAGTTTCTGCTGCTATAAGTTATCTGTGCTTTTCTCTTGTCCATATTTATACGGAGTTGTGTTATAGATTTTCTAAGAACTCTTTCTGTATTTTCCCCTCTTTGACAATTATTTTTGGACTCGCCTGTGTTTCATCACAGAGGAGTTTTTCACTTTCATGATGTCAAATGCGTCACTTTTTCTTTCCCCTCCTCTGCCCGCCTCCCAATCTACACATACTCACGGGGCAGTGGCAGCCGCTTTGGGGAGAGGAGGCCCGGAAGGGCTTGTAAGTCGTGCCTTTGTATTTTACTATATGGCTTGACTTTTTTTACTATACATATACATAAGTAATGTTTTATTAAAAAATAGTTATTATTGGAAAAGAAACAGTACGGAACCTGGGTGACGTCATTCTTAGAACATTTCTATCATGCATGGCATCGTAATTGTACTCTGCATCTTTTCTAGTTAAAAAAAAAAAGGCCGATATTCTCAGAGATTTTGAAGTTAACACCAGCATGTTCCAGCAAACACACAGCAGCGAACAGGAACCAATCAGAAGCGCTGCCATCCACGGAGCAGCCGGGACCCGGAGCCGGGGGTGAGCAGCTATCGGCGGTGACCTGCGCAGGCCACAGCAGATGACACAGCCAGGGCAGGAACCTGCATCAGGATTTCCTGACCTCCGCGTCTCTGGCAGAGTAACTGACAGGCTAAATAATCTGCCAATCAGACTTCCCTAAACCCGGGAACTTCTGAGCAGCAGCAGCAGCGCTGCTCAGCAAACCGTACGGAGAGAGATGCAGTTCAAGGGCCAGCGTTGTGGAGAAGGTGCAGAGCCAGCGTGGTGTTCCCTGTGCCCCCTGAAAACACCCCTCCCCCAAACCCCCGCAAGCAACGCTCTGGCTCCGGGGGAACAAAACCCTGCGATTTTTCTTGTGGATAGGAAAACAAGGTTCCCCTGCCAAAAGCTGCCAGGGGGGGTTTCAGGAACAATCCCATCTGTGTGGCTGTCTCTCAGCCCCCTGCTGCCGAGGCACTGATAGTCTCTTTGATCCGTTCCTGGGACGGCTGTCTCCCCCCAGGGGTGGCTCGGCGGGGCTCGCTTTTATTTTCCTCCATTTTAATGGGTCAGTTCCTAAAATACTTTGGAACTGCTCTACGTTCTGCAGAAAATAAAAGGTCTTTTCTCTCTGGGTGCTTCTCTCACTCTGAAGGAATGCAGAGTGGAAAACAAGATGGGGAATTAATAAAACCCCTTCTCTTTGTGTGCATTTAATAGATGGCTTTTCGACACGAGCTCCCCTGAAGAGCCGTGGCCACACGAAACCTTTCTGAGCCTTAGGCAAAACTCCTAAAGAAAAGAGAAGCCTTGATAAATGTTTAATAATGAGTGTTAATAAATAAAAGTATCTTGTATGGGAACAACACATTTTCTGTCTTGAACCTTTGAGGGGTTTTGGGAAGTGGATAGGGTCTTTTTTTTTCTTTTCTTTTTAAAAAGATTTTATTTATTTATTTTTAGAGAGAGGGGAAGGGAGAGAGAAACAGAGGGAGAGAAACATCAGTGTGTTGCGGTTGCCTCTCACCCGCCCCCTTCTGGGGACCTGGCTTACCACCCAGGCGATGTGCCCTGAGTGGGAATCGAACCTGCGACCCTTTGGTTCACAGGCCGCTTCTCAATCCACTAAACCAGGGCTGTTCTTTCTTTTCTTGGGAAATTAAATGACTTGTACAATCAAATAGAAGATTCTGACCTCCAAGTCAGATCTTCTGATTTCACAGTCAATGCTATTTTGACTCCACCAAGTGATCTCTTTAATAATACTCAGCAAGTATTTGTGGACACCCTCTCATCTTTATGAACCTCAAGCACAAGCAACCTTCCCAACTTGACGAGTGTTACGCAAGTACTCCCGTCTCGCCTGGATACAGAACACCCCTAAGACCCAAAACCTCGCAGTGCCCGGAATGCGAGCTCTGGCTGACCTCAGGCCTAGGCACGCGTCCCTGCCTCTGTCTGGCCAGGCCTCCGCACCTCCCAGCACCTTTGGGACCAGGCGCCTACATTCACGACCTCGCTCCACGATCGGGTTTCTGTGCTTACAATTGCCTCCATGGTTCCCATAGCCAGGTCGTCAGTGAAGGAAAAGTAAAGGAAGAAAAGCAAAGGAAAGAGAATTTTTTTAAAAGTTCCCAAGTACCACGGTATATCAGGCACTGTGCCAATAAACTATGAACTCGTAAAGCCTCCTAACGCTTGTCCTCCTTAATTGCAAAAGGACTCAAAAGACCTAGAACAGGGGAGTCAAACTCATTTTCACCAGGGGCCACATCAGCCTCACAGTTGCCTTCCAAGGGCCGAATGTAACTTTAGGACGGTGTAAATGTAACTACTCCTTAACGAGGGGCAAGGAGCTGGGCGCCACTGCCGGGTGGAAACAAGGTGCCGGGCTGGATAAAACAAAACGGAGGCCGGATTCGGTCCGTTGACCTTGTGTTTGTCACCTGTGGGCTAGACGGTATCTACTTCATTTTCACTTTTTCTCATGTTTTTCTTGCAAATGCGTCTCTGTGTCCTTCCCCGGGTTACCCAGTTACTGTGCCCGAGTAGCTGACTTTCGGACCTCACAGCCGAGCTTCAGGCCTCGCCGTCGAACCAAGCAGCTGTCACTGTCACTGGTCTGCCTCCCCAGCGGTGGCCCGCAAGGCGGCAAGCCCTCATGACCTGCGCTCGCCATCCCTCCGTCACCCAGTGCCACGCACTCCCCCAGTGTAAAGGCCACGAACATCCACTCAGTTGTTCAGGCCGGAAAACTGGGAGCCGTCTTTGACCGTCCCCTTCCCTCTTCTGCCCACCGCCAATCAGCCCCCGTGTCTGACCTGGTCCACCTCCCGAGTCCTTGTCCAACCCGCCTGCTCCTCCTCACTGTCCCCTCGGCACCCTAGTTCAAGCCACTGTCCCCTTCGACAGCCTCCCGGCGGGTCCCTCCACTTTCACTCCCTCGCTTCCTCCCCAATCCATTCTCCATGCACCAGCCGGAACGGTTTCTCTGAAATGTACTTGGTTGGAGTCTGGGTCAGGCCACTGATCGATGTGAACGGCACCCCTGGGCCTGACCTCAGCTGTTCTCATACTTGACCTTCCCTGTCTATGAACAGGAAATAATAGAATGTCCCAGGGTGGCAGTAATATGAAGAGAAGGAATGCGGATAAAGTGATGGAACGGGACACGCTAATAACCTATCAGTGGGAATAGAAAGGTCAGATCCATTTAAAAATAACCATAAAGAACTCTCAGTACCATTGTATCTCATTGGAAAAGAACAGGCATGAATTAGTCTGTATTTTACCACTTTAACAGGAGAGAATTCTCCTCGAACACGATTTAAAATGTGCTTTCAGCAGAGGACCCGACACAAAAGCATCCAACTCCCTGCGATGGGAAATCTTACGGACCAGCTCGGCTAGGCTACAGGGCCCCGCTGTTGAGCAAACTCGGGTCCAGACATTGCTGGGAACACGCTCTGTGGCAGAGACGAACATTTCCAGTCCGTGGACTCTGAGTGAAGACATTACCCACGACAACAGGAGTTAAAGGCTTAAGCCTGAGCAAAAAGCTGAGGTTTCCCGAAGAAGGGGTTCTCCCTCGAGACCATGTCTTCTGGCTTGCGCTGCGGCTGGCCTGCCTCCCCCGTGGGTTTCCGACCTCCCAGCCCCTGTGAGCACGTGCACTGACTCCTTAAAGTCACCTCTCTGTCCCGGTATCCATCCAATCAGGCGTTTTTTCTGACACACTCTGACGACACACTCACAGAGTAACCCCACAAAGGCAAAGTCGAGCAGCAGCTAAAGGATAACAACTCCCAACGGCTCCGGGTCAAGATTTTAGCGTGTAGTGGAAAAGAACCCTCATCGGTTCGATCACAGAAGGTTAGACCACCCGCCTGGTATGTGATGCGCCATCTTCAGGGACGCGCGGGCTGCCTGTGGAATGGGCACCTGGAAACGGAGGACCCGTATCCCGCACGCACCCACCGGGCCGTGGGCTGTCTGTACAAGGATGCTTGCTGAGCACCCGCCCCAGGTCGTGGGCTCTGCTTATCGGCACACACAGCAAAGCCAGGCATTCTCAGAGCGGTTACGTGGCTTGTGTTTACGAAAAGCCTTTGCGTCGAGAGCAGCTTTGGTGGCCGGCAGGTTGCCGCTTACCTGTAAGAGGTGGTTGACGGCCGCGTCGTGCTGTTTCAGGGCCTGTTCTGCACCTGCCAGCTCCCTCAGGACTGGCACGCATTCCAGACTCTTCTCTCCTTTACTCATCTCAGTGTATTCTAGAGCCTCCTGGTAGTGGGGCAGAGCTTCTTTTGATTTCTTCTGACCTTGATACATCCTAAGAAATCAGAGGGATTATTTTTAGAATAGTTGAAATAGAAAATATTAAAAATGCAGCCCTGATTGGTGTGGCTCACTGGATTGAGTACAGGCCTGTGAACCCAAGAGTCGCTGGTTCGATTCCCAGTCAGAGCACATGCTTGGGTTGAGGGCCAAGTCCCCAGTAGGGGGCGCATGAGAGGCAACCACATATAGATGTTTCTCTCCTTCTCCTTTTCCCTCCCCTCCACTCTCTCTAAAAATAAATAAACAGACTCTGAAGAAGAAGAAGAAGGAGAACTCCATGGTGAGACCCCTGGAGACCCAAAGATTAAAAAAAAAAGAAGAAGAACATGCAAGTGGTCTACTGGTGAGGATTTGGCTCTCTGATCCCTGTTGTCCAGTTTCGTCTCCTAGGCAACTAAGACTTCTTTCCACCCAAAGGCAGAGCAGTCAAGGATGGACTTTGGAATGACGAGGAAGGTTCAAATCCTGCCTCCACCACTCACTAGCTGTGTGTGCTTCAAGTCGCTGAACCATTTCCTCACCTGAGGTTAAGATCAACAACAGGGGACACTTCACTGGCTCGTGGGAGCTAACGAACACACACGGGCTCGGGTGCTAATGCAGCCTACAAGGACCCTTCTGCGGCTCATGGAGAACGCGCTGTTCGCGTCAAAGGAAAGGCCAGATAGAAAACAAAATCACTGTAGCTTCACAATGTATTTAGTAATAATTTTTAAAAAAGGAATCGAGCTGGGACTGTGCCAGAAATAATGGAATTGTGTTCTTAGCTCCATCGCCAGCTCACTTAAAGCCTCCGTCAGTTTTCGGTCATTCTGCCTGTCTCTGCAGTGTTCGGGAGAGCAACGTTTCCCCTTTTTACTTCTGCTGGATGCTTTGAGGATTTCTTAGCTGGGAGCAGGCCATCATGGGTAATCCCAAAGCCCTCCAGACACCTTAGGAAACACCTGGCAGATGAAAAGATTTAAACAGCAGAATGCGGCAGTGTGTTCGTCTGGCGGGTCTGCACTTAAACCACGGCAGATTTTACTGGGTGAAGAAAATACCTCCACAGTCACTTTACACAGCACCTGATGAGAAGCTATCCCATTTCGGATGAGCTTCGGAGGATCTCACAGGGATGGAAGCTGTTTTTTTTAAACATGTGACAATCAAATGCAGTCTCCTGTGGCACTGCAGAGGTTTTTCTGCTTCCCCACATTAAAAATAAATGATTTTTTAAAAGAAAGAAAGGAATCAGCCCTGGCTGGTATGGCTCAGTGGACTGAGCATCGGCCTGTGAACTGACGTCAATTTGCAGGTTTAAATCCAGGTCGGGGCACATGCCTGGGTTGTGGGCCAGGTCCCCAGGAGGGGGCACTCAAGAGGCAGCTGATAGCTCAATGCTTCTCTTCCTCTCTTTCTCCCTCCCTTCCCCTCTCTCTGAAAGCAAATAAAATTTTTTTAAAAAAAGAAATCAGACTTAATGTAAGTTAACAGCTTCTCTTCAACCCCAAGACTGCAGGGCAGAAGTGTGCCAGAGGGAAAAAGTCTTCTTGGGTGAACAGGCTCGGAGCGCTCCGGCCACACCGTGTCCCCCGGGAGGGGCTGGCAGTGGGGACGCCTCTTCCAGGAGCAGCGGGGCATCTCCCAGGGGCGAGATGGGGAGCGGGGCCTTTGAACACACGACCGTGTGTCAGAGCCTCTAAGTCCCGAAAGCTAAACGCAGAGAAAGTGATTCGTTAAAGAGACACGTCTACAGAGGTGCAACCGAGAGATCAAAGACCTCCAGGCGACGTTATGAACTAAAATGCATACATACACACACATACCGAGCCCAGAAAGCAAAAGCGAGGTTTGCAGATTACGGCCTGGAGCGCTTAGGCAGGACTGTGAGATGGAAAAGTGAAGTCTGCCGCTGAATCACCAAAATTCCCAATAGCAGCCAGGGGGAGTGCTGGGGTGGGGGGCGGGGGGGGAGCGTGAAGAAATAAAAATGCCACCCCAATGAGGTGATGACGGCAGGTGGCCGTCCCGTCCCACCTGCCATTGTTCTTCCCTGGTCTTCTCCCTGTTTCCAGGTGGGACAGGGCGAGGAAGAAGCCTCCCCCATCTTCTTCCCTCTTTGGAAAGCGGGTGTCAGAGTCACTTGCCAAACCTGGTGGCCACAATGACTCAAAAGCAAGCAAGATAGAGAAACAAACTCAAGCTTGAAAAAGAAACATACAAGACTATGATTTTCGGCTCAGGTGGCCCATGAGCACAAAGACAAAAGCAGCCCTCTTGAGTCACAGGGAAAAAAAAATACAGGAAAGAATTTGGCATTCCAGGGGCAGTCTTAAAGCCAGGGTCTTCCTGTGAGGTGAGGACACGCTTAACATCCAAATTCGTTCTGGGAAATCATAGAAAGGAAAATGTTTAACTAGAATGTTCGATGACAATAATAACTACTTTTTCACTTTATTGATTTTTTAGGGAATGAGGTGGGCAGGGGGGAGAGAGACAGACAGAAACGTCGATCTGTTGTTCTATTTAGTTGTGCATTCATTGGTTGATGCTTGTGTGTGCTCTGACCGGGGATCGAACTTGCAACCTTGGCATAACTCGATGATACTCTAACCAACTACGCTACCCACCCAGGCCAATAACTACTTTCTTTTTTAAAGGGCCTATGATGTAGGGTCCCCAGATGCTTTAGTGTGGGGCCCGTTTCATCATCAATGCAACCAGTAGGGAGGGTCTATTGTTCCCCCTTTAACAGGGAGGACGAGTGAACGTGAACGCTGACCTGACCCTGGGGCTACCTGGCTCTAAAGCCCACGTTGCCATTGGCAGCACGTCCCATTCCTCAGAGACACCTCAGAAGTGTCCTGTTGCTGGTGTGTGGGGAGTTTCCTTATGCCAGGCACACGTGAGAGAGAGTCCAGCACAGCAAGGCCAGGCCAAGTGCCCGCCAGACAAGCTGTGGACGACTGCAGAGACGACACCAGCCATCGGAGAGAAGACCCAGACAGGCCACGTGTTATGGAGCAGCCGTCTCAGTGGGTCGGCACGACCGCGCCACACAGAAAGATTGCTCTAATAATCGTGTGCACGCACGGGCAGTGGTGTTCACGTAAAGCCAGCTGCCTGTCTCTGGGGATCCCGCTATCAGTCACCAGGAGAGAAAAATAACCCTCATCCCTGGGGAAGAAGGTGCTCATTTTTGCTAGTGACTTTCCCGACCCCATTTAAAACAACTGCGGGCATAGGAATACATGAGTGGACTCTCTCCCAAGTTAGTACATAACAACCGAATGAAGCAGGTGCTGGAACGGAGGCGGGCAGGTACAAGGGACGAGGCTTCAGGCCACAGTCGGCGGGTGGAAGGCATGGAGCGTGACTCACTCTGCAGCCAAGGAGAGGAGCCGGCCTGGCCTGATGGGCACCATAAAAGGCAATGCAGATGGACAGAGATGCACCTAAAGATACCCTTTTAAGAGAAACACAAACCCCAGGGGAGATGCCTGAGCGACTCTCCCAGCCTTCCACCTCCAGGGCCTGGCAAAAGAAAAGGCTCTTGTGGTTGTGAGAGTAACTACGCAGAGCACAAAACCAAAGCGTCGTTACTTTCTAAAGCAGATCAGTTTGGGCAAAACATTCACACTTCAGTGAGGGCACGAAGCCAAGTGACTGAATAAAAGCCATCAGTTTAAACATGCAAGTTCCAGTGACGGGGTCAAGGTGAAGAGTCAGGATGGGAAAGAAAGTAGCGAAGTTTCAAACAACTCTGCTAAACAGAAGGTAACTTTGTAGGGCAGCTGAGGTCATGAAATGCTGGGTATTCTGCACAGATGCGTACAAGGCACGCCACCTGCTGGCAAGGTTTGGCACTGCTCATTTGGAAAGCACTCAGAGGAGGTGCCAGATTCTGGCGGAGGAAGACAATTGACGCTATTTTGTAGCAACGTTGTTCAACATTAAGCACAAATAACATTAGTCAGAGCTTAACAGATGGCAACAACGATCCGATCTTGGACCTCTGATTTACATACTTCCTATTTTACAATGCAAGATAGAAGACCTACTTCTAGAAAGGGAGAAATTCTGGACTGGAGACTTGCACAGTCTTTACTCTCTTTTTCCTCCGGTTACATAAATGGAATCATACAGAATGAATTCTTTAGGTTCTGGCTTCTTTCACAAACTGTGTTCCTGAGGGTCACCAGTGATGTTAAGCACAGGAGTACCCGGACCATTTTCTTTGTATGAACATATCACAGTGTTAACCATTCTACTTTGGATAAACATTTGGGTCGTTTCCAATTCGTGGCTATTACTGGGAATGCACCGTTGGGCATTCTTCGCTGTCTCTTGGTGGACGCATATGCACTTCCACTGGGCATGTTTTTAGGAGTGGTTATGCTGGGTAACAGGGTATGCCAAACTCTCCAATATAGTAGATTAAGCCAATTTTCTAAAGTAGTTATACAAAATATTTTCTAAACAGCAATGTAAGAGAAAGCATGGGCGAGCGTGACATCTTTGCCAACACTTGATATTATCAGTCTTTAAGAAAAAATTTAGCCATTCTAGTGGAAAAGTAGTCTCTATGATTTTGAACTTCATTTATCTGAGGACAGATGAGATGGAACACCATTTAATGTTTACTGGCTACGTGGATGAGCCTGTTCTGTGAGAAGCCTCTTGCCCACATTTCTAGTCAGTTGTTTGTCTTTGTTTTATTGGCACGTAGGGGTTCTTTACAGACTCTAGATACGAGTCCTTTGTCAGTTATGTGTTTTACAAACATCTTCTTCCTCTCTGTGGTATGAAATATACGATGGTGATTTCAGTGCAGAAAAACATGTACAAAGCAGAGGAAGATAAAGAGAACTGACAGGCTCTAAGGCCCTTACACTGTTTAGAAAGTGGCTCATTGACTCATTTACAATGGAGTCTAATGAGTCAGGGATATAACTGACAAATTCTATGGCATTTACTAGAAGACAAATAAAATAATGTATAACTTGCCAGTTCATAGGTCTAAATATAAAATGATAAAAATATTTGACTACATTTTTTAAAAAGGGAAGAAAGGAGAAAGAAAGGATTTTGAAACTGGTATGAGAAAAGGACATTTAAACTTGAATATATCAATAATTAAAACACAAAAAGATGAAGATTGAAAATTAAGAGATGAAAAAAAAATGTTGGGAAAATTTAAACCGGAAGAGAGCTAGACTATCTATTTTAAGATCAGGCAAAATGGATATGGATACAAGGAACAGGGGCAATATACACTGACCTATAAAATGACAGATCATGAAGATGCGTGGCTGCTTCACCCCCCCACCCAAGGGAACATATCAGACTGTACACACAAGGACCAGCAAAGCCATGGACAGCTCTAGACCCACCGACCATTGTTAAGTCCAAGTTTAAGCACGCTTCTCTTCAAAACAAATGTATCAAATTGGCACAAGAGACAAAAGAAAAACATACATTTGAATGACAGAATTAATAAGGCCACCCTAAAAGACAGACTTAGTAAATAAAACCTTACATGCAATGAGTGAAGAATACAATTTCTTTACAGCTCACTCGGAACCTTCACGAAAATTGACCCTGGACTAGGTCAGAGAGGAAGTAAATTTCAGAGTCCCTACCATACAGACATGCTTCTGTCTATAACACAAAATAAGATTAGAAATAACATCTGAACACCCTGAAAAAATTTCATATATCTGCAAACTGAAACACATGCCATGGGATTTATACGCTACGGGTAATTTATACACTGAGTTATGAATGCGAAGAACTTAATGCCAGCGATAATGCTATGTGTTAAAATATGGGGGACAGACTTCGAGCAGGGCTTGCAGGGCCATTTGTGAAAATATCTTTGACATTTAGGTGGGAAAGGCTTTCTAAGCCAACTCCTAAAGAATGAATCATTGGGTTGAAGGTTGACGGCTTGGACTTCAGCAAAATTAAGGATTTGCCTGTCATTAGAAAGGCCACAGACAAAAATTAACAAATGGGCAGCAAGAGGAAAATATCAGCAATAGCGCTAATTTATAATGCACAGTAAAATCTTGATTTTCAACAAGAAAAGTAGAGGAAGTCCCATAAGAAGAATGAGAAAGAATGCTAACAGCCTATTCAGAGAAGAGGAATCCCCAAAGGCTAAGAAGTATAAAAGGAGGTAGGCAAAGTCACTAATGAAAGAAATGTAAAAATAATTAGGGAGCACATTACATGCACCAGGTTGGCAAAGATGAGACAGGCGGAAAATGTCCGATTCTATTGGGGATGTGAAAAAACAGAAGCCCACCTGTCTGGGGAGGCGGAGTGTGAATGGGGGTAGCATCAGCCAGTGTGCGGTGAACTTGAACTACAAACGCACCCTGTGACCACGCAATCCTACCGCTGGGGCGCAGACCTCAGAAAAAGTCTACGTCAGCTACATGCGTGGAGCTGGGCCAGGATGCCTGTGGCAGCACTGTCGAGGAAGCGGGAAGCTGGGGACGGCTAAGTACACGTGGCAATGCCTTCTACAGAACACTGAGCAGCAGACCTCGGTGATGAGCTGAGGCACAGGCAACAGCGAAAACCAGCGTCGTGTGGGAAAAGGTGAGAAGCAGAGGGAGGCAGGTACTAGAAACTTATTGCCGAGTGATACATGGAGATGAGTCAGGGTGGCACGAAATATTGTCATGGCCGGAAAAAAACCACAGACACAGCATCATGGAGCAGGTCCCCCCGCCTAGAGACAGAGTCTTCCAGCCAAAGGGCCTGCGACCACCATGCGCAGAAAAAGCCCTACCCGGGACACTTACTGTGCAAAGGACAGCTTGACCCGTGCCTGAATCTCCATCCATTCTTCCTCGACAATCCGCCCACGCTGCAGCAGCTCCTTCGAAAGCCTCTCTGCTTTCGTCAAGTTCTTTGCAGCTTCCTTAAATCTGAGTGGCGTTCAGGAAACCGTACCCCAGATTCTGGAGGCCGGGGCCCTCCTTCCCGGAACACCCGGGGCTCACACGCATCCCATCGCCCTTCCCGAGTCAACGGTCAGCTTGGGGTTTGGCCTTGAGAATTAACTGTAAGTAACAGGAGCGGTATTTCTACTTGCAGGGAGAGGCAAAAGGATACTTCTGAAGGGAGAGCGAGGCTCTCCCCGTGGTGTGGAAGAGCTCGATGGAACAGCGGAAAACGTCCGTGTTGTCGTTCCCGGGAGGGGCGATGGAGTGGGCGAGGATTTCTTTGGCTTTTTCTGCGTGTTGTTTTGCTTGGAGCGCCAGTCCTGGGGGCAAGGAGAAAGAAGGCTGAGCTTCCCCCGTCATCTCAGTGGGCAAGGGCAGAGCCACCCACAGTCAGGGAGTCTAGGGAGGTCCCCTTCACCTGTCGTCTGGTGGAGAGGTGTCAGAGCAGCAGGAAATACTGTAGTGACGGTCACAACTGAAGTGTTTTACACCTCGTACTGAAGGTGCAATTTCCACACCCTGGTACTCAAGACAATGTGGTTTCTTTTTCCCCCAAATGGTCTTTTTGGAAATAAAACAAAACAAGCAGAAACTGAACAGCTTTGAAACCTCACCAATATCAGATGGGAAATACGCTCTAATTAATTATAAAGAAACAAATGGAATACAAGGACTGTGGCATTCTGGGCAGGAAATAAGATAGTCATGAATTTTAGTCCTGGCTGTGTGGCAGCCATCTTAATGAAACGCTCAGAATTCTGGATCTCCTGCTTCCCCAACTAGCACCATGCTTCGGAGAGTTATTTTAACATAATACTCGTACAATAAGTACATTAAAGCTTACAGTTCCAATGAGGTAACAGGCAATGTGCCGCAGTCTCTTATTCCTGTGTGGTAATGCACTAATATCAAACAAAACGGAGTGGAAAAATAAAATTCCTGCCAAGAACTAACTCCTGTGGCGATGAAGTGTTTGTGCTTCCAGGGGCCCATCGGTTTGTGGTAAGAGGGACACGGGGGATCCCCAGTTATTTTTCAGGGCTTTTCACTCCCCCATACTCCCATCGTCACATGGGCACCCCTCCACCTCCCTCCCCCTCCACCCACAACCATGAGCTCCCCCTGCTCTTAGGTCATTCATTATGTGCAAATATACCTCCAAGTTCTAAAAAAATAAAGCTGGCCAAATACAAAGTTAATTCTGTTCCTGTGTCTATAAAACAGAAAGAATATATTTTCTGATGGTGAAAACTCAGGGAAGCTCTTAGGGAATTTTATCTCATTTTCCAAAACCACCCACTCACTCGACCTGCCAGGAATGCATTACTGACGATTATGTGAGCAGTGTTATAAAAGACGTGATGGACGGTGTTGTCGGCCTCGGCCCCTTCCCTCCTGAAACTCGCACTCAGTCTCCTGCAGGCAGCGTGGGCTGAGGCTCAAGGACCCTGGCTCTGAGGTCAGACTGCCCAGAAGGAAGCCCCCGCGCCCCCACCTACCCCGAAACTCGGGCTTCCTCAGTGGTAAGCGGGGATAATAACAGTACCATCTTAGAGGATGGTGGTGAAGGTGCAGTGAGGTCACGCATGGAAGAGTTAGCGTGGTGCCTGGCACTGCTTTGACCTTCAACAGAGAGAGACTGTCGATGCAGGAAGGTCTCGGACTGTGGAAAAGCACCGTTAGAAATCCCCAATGCCAGGACTCTGGTACTGGCATCCAAGGGCTGAGACTCAGACCAGCACATAAAACGCGGGGTCTGGGGCAAGCCGCTTCAACTCAGACTTGCTTCCTGCGGCTCTAAAAACAAGGAGGGGGCTGCCTTTGAACTAGGTGAGGGCCAAGGTCCCCGCTGGTGCTCAGAGTCTTTTACCCTACAAGTGGAGTTTATTGGCAATTCTATGCTTAGCGCTCTGGTGTTTTCCACTTGTTACTTTGTTTACTCGCTGGACCGATCCTGGGAATTTAATATGAGCATCGTCATTACATCACCTTGCGGGTGAAGAAATCATGAACAGAGAGGCTGTCTTGTCCATTTAGCCCTAGGTTTGCCCAGTGAGAAAGAAGTGACACCCTTGTGTGTATTTTCCCTGTATCCATTCTCCTTTGGGGGGGGGGTAATACCTGCCCCCCCCCCCCCCCCCCCCCACGATCCATGAGATTTAGCCAACGCTGCTCTCTCCCCCAGGATCTCAGGAGAGCCCAAAGGCAGGTCTAGACAATTAGAATACTCCTCGCCTTGGACACTCGACCCAAGAGAGAGACTGATCACATAGTTGGAACACCTGGATCCAGCCAAGTCCACAGTAAGTTTTACCCTTGGTGGCTGAGTTGCATGCACCAATAAACTGCCTTTTGTTGATGCCAGCTTGGTCTGGTCTCTTACTTATTTTGCAGGCAGTGATTCCTTACAGGCAAGAGTCTCTCCATCAGTGCAAATCTGAAGGGACCCAATGTTATTAGGCCCCACCTCCAAGTCCTGGGCCATCCTTGCAGATAAGCATCAGTCCCATTTCAGGGAAAGAGCGGAAGACCCCCGGACAGAGCCTCCTCGGTCCGAGCTGAGCTCACCTTTCAGCTGCAGGTAGCCTTGTGCCAGGTTGACATGAGCCTCTGCCAGTTTCCAGTGGCAGTCACCGTAGCAGATCCTTGTCAACGCCACGCAGCGCACGAGCTCCGCGATCGCCTGCTTGTGCTGCAAGGGAGGGAAAATCACACTTAGCATTCAGACACCTGAGAATGTGCAGCCGTGGAGCACAGAGTTGCCTTGTTCTGTAACCCAGCCAGTGGGTATTTCCTGAGCGCCCACTCTGACTTGGCTCTAAGCACTGGGGATACGTAAGAAAACAAAAAATAAGCCAAGGATCGGTTTGGGGCGGTAGGGCTGCATTCCCTAGCAGAACTCTGGCTGAGAACGGCTGCCAACCTTGGTCTGCCTAGCACAGGGCCAGGCACATAGCAGGTACTAAATAAGTAGCGGTGGCGTAATAAATAGGCACGCATTCAGAACTGGAGTCATGCCTTCTCTCTATAATGCTGCTCTTCCTCCATGGTCATTACAAGGAAAAAGGGCACTGGTCACCACTCCAGCTGAGACCCAAGTCACAGATGTACATACTCCTTCTGGTGTGCTCTGGACTCTCCACCCGCTGCATCCCCACGGTCACCGGGTCCCAGTGATTCGCATTCCCCAGTTCCTGTCAAAAATCTCAGCCTCTCCCCTGCCTCTGCTCTAGTTCAGGCCCCTGCAATTCCCCGCTGGGATTTTTGCAGACACCCTCTACACTGGCCCTGCTCCCCCAGTTTCGTTCTCTTCTCCTGCTACCTGAGTGGTTATTCCCAAAATGCAAGCCTGCTCATGGCACTCTCTGGCCTAGAGTCCTGTGATGGTTTCTTACATCTTTAGGAGAAAAATCTGAACTCTGTCCCTGGACGCTGAAAACTCTTCAGGCCCCAGTTCCTGACTGCAAACCAACCTCATTTCCTGCCTGGTGCCACTAAAGCCTGCCCGAGTTCCATGGAGACAACGTAAGCATCCACTGACGGATGAATGGATAAAAAAAGTGACACACACACATATTGGAATATCAGTCAGTCATTAAAAGGAGGAAATTCTGCCATGTGTGAGAACACAGACGGACCTTGAAGGCATTACACTGAGTGAAATAAGTCAGACAGAGAAAGGCAAATACTGTATAAACTCACTTATAGGGGGAAGAAACACACAACAAACTCATAGAGCACAGATTGGAGGTTGCCAGAGGTGGTGGGGTGGGGGACAAGTGGGTAATATGGGTGAAGATGAAGGGGGTCCAAAGGCACAACCTTCCAGTCATAAAGTAAATAAGACCTGGGATGCAATGGCAGCGTGGTGACCGCAGTTAATGAGACTGTGCTGTGTATTTTGAAAGTTGCTCAGAGAGTAGATCTGAAAGGAAGGTTCTCATCACAAGAAAACAAACCGTACAACTCTGTGCAGTGATGGACACTAACTAGACTTACTATGGTAATCATGTTGCAATGAATACATATGTTGAATCACTATGTTGTATACCTGAAACCACTGTAGTGGCAAATGTTGGTTATAGCTCAGTCTAAAAACACAGAGCCCACCTCCCAAAAGGTCCCTGATAGCTCCCCAAACAGACCGTGTCCCTCAGACCCTTGGCTCTTGTCCACTTGCCACCTCTGTCCAGAGCACTGTGGTCCTCTCCCTGACCTGGCCAGCTCCCAAGCACTGTTGCCAGTTCAGTCCAAGTAAGTCCCATGAGTATGCAGAGACCAAGAAGATGAAGAATACAGAACAGAAGCTTCTCATCTGTTTTGCATTGCATTGCAGGGCCTGGCTTGGGCCCCTAGGGGGCGCTCAATAAATACGTATCGACTGGTGGAAAATGAAGAGTCCTAAGTCAAGCCTACAGGGTGTCAGCCTAGTGCCAGACTTGTGTGTCCGTTTGTACATTCATTCACCAAGCAGTAGGCTCACTGCCCTGCTAAGATGCACCAGACCGGTGCTCTTGCCCCAGACTCCAGAGAGCAGGAACGTCACGGAAGCCATTGCACTTCTCCGTTACCAGCACATGGGTATGGGAAAGGAAGGCTCCTTACCTCGTGCCTGCTGGAGTAGGACTTGGCTTTCTCTTCACAGAGGTGCAGCTTCTCTCTCGGAGGCTGGAAGAGCAGCGTCTGAGGCAGCTTGCTGGGGACCTTCTTTCCAGGACCTATGCTGACGGCAGCAACGACCTCGTCTAAGTGGTTGGAGACGTGCGTTTCCTGGGCTTCTTGCATGTTTTTACACGCATTCTCCTCTGATTTTTAGGTGGGGAAAGGAAGATGTTCAATGATCATTTTCATGTTTGCTTTTAGAAATACACATTTCCCCCCCTTAGAAATTGAGGGTAGATTCTAGGAAAATCTCAACACTATATCCAGATAGAAAATCTGGTGACTAGTACTGACTTCTCTGTAAAAGTTTCAGGTGGATTTCCAGTTTAAACCAAAGATTCTTTGTGCATTAACGTATATATACACACATATATATTCTTGTGGGCTGCTCTGCCTGGTTGTAGGAATTGTAACTCTACCCCCTGTGGCTAAGGATGAGTGAGCCACAACCTCTGGAATGGAAGTGGCAGGAGATAAAGCTTGTCTCTGGTAGCAAATGCTGCCTCAGTTTCCTCCCAGCCCCCAAAGCATGGTCAGATGGGTAAGACCCCTCAGAGGAGGAGCAACCTAGGCCAGACATGATCATGTGGGAGGCCATCATGGAAGGACTGTGGGGGGCAGGGAGGCTTTGACAAAGAGCAATGGACTCTTGCCCCCCAGCTTTGACAAAGCCCAAGTCCCCATGTTCTCTGGGAGAAGTGTTTCCTGGCTCTAATCCCCTTAAACCTGAATACCTGATGGGGAGGGGTGCAGCTCCTTGCCTTGCTAAAGCATGTCCTGGGGAAAAATCTGGCATCACAAAGAATTACTGAAAAACCTGTGAAATCTGTTCTGCTAAAAGTGCTTTCTTTCATACCATAAGGGTTCGAGCAGGAAACCCTAAAACTCTATTCCTGACAGACTCTGACTCACACTAAGCCCTCACATTTCTTTGAAATGTTATCTACTGTTTGATCCTTGCCACCCGTATTCCTGTGCATTACAACCCAATAAAAGCCCTTGGAGGAGGGGGCTCAATGCCTTTTTCCCCTGAGAAACTAGCCACTGCTCAAGGCATTTTTCTTCTGGGAAACTGGCCACCTCTCCTCCCCAAGCAGATCATGTCTCAGTCATGTTTACTCTCATCCATGGCACCCGGGGGGAATTGCAAGGAAAGTCGCCCCCACAATATACGTATATATAATATGGACATATGTTACATAGAATATTTGTGTGTGTGTGTGTGTGTGTGTGTATATGTATATATATATATATATATATATATATATATATATATATATATATATATATAAAATACAGTGGAACTCAGCTGATCCCAAACAACTCACGGAGTCCACATTAAATCAGCTCAATTACAACTAACCTTGAAGTGGAAAAGAAAATGAGTTGTTAAACTTCTATGTCCAATCTAGGGGCAAGATTCATCCTCTTGCCTGAAATAACCAACCAACCGACAATCCAACAACCCACACACCATTAAAAAAAAAGACAACCAAAGAACGAAATAATGGCTTTCAAGAGTAAACAGGATTATTTGCTGCGCCCCGAAGTCGGCCACATTGGCCACCAGGGGGCCCTGTCTCAGAGATCTTTTCCAAAGCCAGAGCTTTCTCCTTCTCCACCCACCAAATTAAGGACCAAGATCAGCAAACTTGGCACAGATGAGCTTCAGCTTCTATGAAGCAAGTTTTGAAACAGGAGCCAAACACCCTCAGTATGTGGTGTGCCTGAAGCACTTTGCTTTTTTGGAAGATGGTGATTCAACTTGGTTTGCCCAACACTGAGAATAGTATTATCTGGTACTTGGTAGCAGCTCCTGAAGTGTATGGAATTGAGTTTTGTCTCAGAAAAACAGGTCAGGTGGAAGAGACTACACTTTACGTAAGAATACCACCTCCTATCTTCTCATGGTGTTCTTCCGTCATAATGGGTTTTTTCTGGTTAAAAAGAATTCAGTTTTAACAGAACCAAGAAACACACTTCAAGTCTGAGGGAAAAGGAGAAAGAACTCACTGGACAAAGTCACTTTCACTGTTCGAATTGCACCACAACCACCACCACATCTAATAAATTTGTAATTGTGGCGCCAAATAAAAAAAATAAGTTTGCCCTGGCTGGTGTGGTTCAGTGGATTGAATGCTGGCCTGCAAACCAAAGGGTTGCCAGTTGGATTCCTGCTCTAAGGCACATGCCTGGGTTGTGGGCCAGGTCCCCATTAGGGGGCGCTCAAGAGGCAACCACACATTATTTCTCTCCCTCTCTTTCTTCCTCCTTTCCCCTCGCTCTAAAAATAAATAAAATCTCTAAAATAAAAAAATAAGTTTGATGCTTCAGAAAAACAGAAAGTAACGCATAAAGATGTATGTTATTCTGCCATGTGAAAGTAATGGTACTTGGATAAAATGTCTTAAAAGGCTGCAGCTAATTCTTACTCTGTTGTTTGTAATATTTGGCCCTGTAGCTGCCAGTCTGTGCTCTGGGTACTATCTTAAATTGCAATGCCACTTAGATCTTTTTTAAATATTATGTTCATAAGGTCTCCCTCCTGCTCAAACCCTAGGACCAAACTCCTTAATGTAATTTCTCATGTGGTTTTTTTTTTTTAAACCAAGGCCCCCAAATAGACTTCCTCCTGCAGTCAGAACCAGTCATTCTTTAGGCTGTGCATATTGGCGGACAACTCGCCCATTACCTGGGAGGCCACTTCCTTTCTTCCCTACCTGCTGGAATTCTGTGGGTTGCTCAGGCCCAGGCTGGGTCCTAATCCCAACTGGGAAGCTTTCCCTGAATATTTTGGCTCACACCGATCTGAGCGCCTGAAGCACCTAACAGTCATCATTGCATAAGGAACTGGCCAGAAGTTTTCTTTAAAATGTTTTGAGTCTCATTCCTCCAACTAGACCGTGAACCTCTTGAGAGATTGAGTTTTATTATTTTTATATCCCCCTGTATAGATTAACAGAGGCCCCGCAAGCACACCTACTATGAGTTCGGCCTTGAAAAGTGTCATTGAGTATTACACTTACTAGTTGAATTGTTTGAAGAATCTTTAAGATGCTGTTTTTCAGAATGATGTATTGGATAGAAAACAGGGAGACAGCGACCAGAGGGGAGAGGGGAGGGAATTTAAGGGGAGAAAGGTGAGGGATTTAGAGGAACAAGTATAAAGGACACAGGGACAATAACTAAGGGGGGTGGAAATGGGAGGGAGGTGGGGAGCACGGGGTGGGATGGGCTGGGATGGGAGAAATAGAAAACTGTACTTGAAAAATAGTTAAATAAAATTAAAAAAAGAAGAATGATGTATTGGGCTGGATCCTAAAAACAAAAATTGTGTTGCTTTTCAAATATGTTTTAAATAGGTGGGGCAAACGTAGCTGTTTGCATGGAAAATAATACTATAATAATAATAATAATAATTAGTAAATAGTAATACAAGAATAAACTCTGTGTTTCGCATACTTACAACTGTAAACCTGCTTTTGCCCCACTCTGTATGTTATTCTTATTTATCAATATTTTCCTGAACTTTTATAGAGTGGTTTTAGTAGAAATATAATTTTTTAAAATACTGTGTAAATGCTGAATTTCATTTTTGAAAAATCATCATTAATTCCCGACTGAGTGTGTTTCGTGTACCAATACTATGTTTTGCTTGGTCATTAGCAGACTACGTCGCCGAATTTCCGCATCTAAAAATATACACAAAATGTGAATCCAGAGATGATTCCAAGTGTCTCTTAATAGATGGCTTGTCTATTACTCTACGTATGATAATATACAAACAAAAATAACCTTTTCATTTGACCATTACGATAACATTACTAAGTGTCCTTCTAAATCTATATTAAAGCGACAACAAACTACAGCTTATTCGTGTGTAAAATAATCTATAATCAATATTACCTCGTTCCCTCTACCAGCCCCAAACCCACGTGAATCACGTTCTTCCCACCCCGCACTCAAGAGATAACACCCTCTGAAACTCCTTTCTTCCACTCTTAGATCGTGCCTGTATTGCCTGGTTTTGCCTCAACACTTACTTCTTTAAAACGAGAGAAAAATCGGAAAAGTTTCAACTCTCACATCTCTGTGCGGTAAAATCCTTTGTTCATTCGCCGTGCGCGACGGAGAGGTTCCCCGTTCCCTTTTTCCCCCCGGGAATCACGCGGGGGGCGCGACAGCCCGATCTGCCAGGCTGGTTCGCCTTGCAATGGGCCCGGAGATTCTTTGCGCAGTTTGATAACCACCAAAAAGCCCAAAGGCGGGTAGTTTCAGACCAAAGCAAAGAAACCTTGTTCCGGGGAAGCCCCCGAGTACCTCCCGAAAGTCCGGGCAGCAGGAATGAATGATAGCGCCTGCACCAATGGGGACTGGGGAAGAGCATTTTGGCGAAGTTTGTAACCCAATCCTTGGGAGCCAGAGGTGGGAATTTTAAAGTGGGCTCGTCTTTTCGTCGGAATGTTCTTAAAGTGGTATCGCTGCATAATAGCGTTCAAATTTGCCAAAAATTGCTCACTTCTTCGAGTATCCCCCCCCCCCTTACCTTCTTTTGAATAAGGCAAGATGTGAAAATTGACACTCGACAGATTTAGAGAACTTTTAAGTTAGTCATGGAATGACTACTTATACTAACGTAGAATCACTTGGCCACTTATGTATGGGTCGGGGGTAGAAGTTATTTTAGGATGATTCATTTTTCATGATAAAATACCAGATGTTAAATTAATACATTAAAATTTAAAATACATTAAAATTTCCTTTTTAAGTAAATGAAAATAAGAGCCTAACATTGATTACTTTTTAAGAAACTGTTCTATTGTTAATCCTTTTTTATTTGTACTCTTTGACATTACAAGAAATTCTTATTTGGGTTGATATTTAATACCCTAAGGAATTTTGTTCTTACACAAACTGCAGGTTTCCTCATTTTAAGTCCAGCAAAAAATTCCTAAGTGCTATGCACAGCTCTTAGGCATCCTATACAAAATGGTCTTAGAAGTGAATGCCACATACCACGCTGTTACTTCAGTAACTTCTGAAGACCAGGTTTAATAAATAGAAAATTGGGATTGCATTATAACTCATGCCTTGTTGTGGAACTGGTTTTGTTTTATAACTCTTCTTTCTAGGTTATTCATCTCTAACAGTAATTAGATAAACCAATGGGAAACAATTGATATCAAACTTTACAAAGAACAATAAATAACAGTAATTTCGTGAGATGAAATTTTTTTAAAAAACCATTTCAAAAGGAAAGTTGACATGAAGTTTTTTTTCCAATGCTTCCTAACAATGTTTGGATTAATAATAATAATTAAAAAAACAGCATAAAGCTCTCTTGCTTTGATGTCTCCATCCCCTGCTATGGAAATTTTCTTGAAAGAAATATTTATTCACGGCCTACTCAGTCATGCTAGGAACTGCCTCAGTACTTAACCGACTAGGTTGTTACTGTCCTTTTTAGCGATCGTCCCTAACAACAGGTATTTCAAAGCAGACACCAGGTTACCCCTCGTCTTTGTAGCTATCAGCGCGCACAGCGAGCCCTCAAATCCCGCGCTCAGGCTCACGATTTGCCAATTAACCTTGGCCAAGTTACGTAAACCTGGCCTCAGTTTTTCATCCGTCAAATGAGTATAATAATAGTACCTGTGTCATGGGATTGCAGTGAGGGTTAAAAGAGGTAATCTAGGCACAGATGTTAGAACGCTGCCTGGAATACAACGAACACTCGGGTGTTATTGTTGTGATCCGTGAACGTGTGCATTCAATGAGAGCACGACTGCCTGCATGAATATACTGTGTGAATAAAAGCACAGAGTAATTACTGGTGGTTCCCGAGGTTGCTGCCGCCCAAATCACACCTCCAAAGTGCAAAAGCAAAAAGCCACTCTTTCTGGACAGCAAGCCCCGCCGCTAGCCGGAGCCGGAAGCGAGGGTCGGAAGTAGGCGGAGCCAGTCTGTCGGAAGCGAAGCTCTCGGCCAATGGCTATATCGTTTAGTAAATGAGCCTCTCCTCCGACCTATTGTAAAACCGCGAGAACTGGGTGGCATTATCGCGATGTTCCTACCTCCACCGCCTTCCCTTATTCCCAGCTTCAGGGTATGCAAGAATTCCGCCCCTCCCCTCACCGCCCACCCCTTGCCCCGCCCCCAGCCCGGTGCTCGGCCCCGCCCCGCCCCTCCCGGCTTCCCTCGGCTTGCGGTCCAGCGCAGCCGGTGCCCCGGAGCTCTGGCTCCGCCGGCGCGGAGGTGAGTGTGGCTGTCAGGCGTCTCAGGTGGCTGAAGTGGCGCGGCCCCCTGTCCTGGCCGCCGCGTCCCACCTTGGGTCCGGCTGGAGCGTCCGGGCCGCGGTGGGTGGACCGCGGGGCGAGCGGCCCGATGGGGCCTCGAGTCCTCACGGCGGCTGGGCCCTCCTCGCCCTGAGGATCGATCCGGACACTGGGTCTGGGAAACCCGGGTCCCGGGGCTCCCTGCTCCCAAACGGTAGCGACCTCAGTGCTTGGTTAACTCGCGCAGAACGGCGTGTGCTTTGCCTAAGACTCTGTCGGGCTTCTGAGCAAATAATCTTTCACGAATGCTTTTCGTGGACGCTTTTCAATTCTCCAATGTCCGATATTAGGAGATCAGACTGGGTATTCTGAATTACGTACTGAAGTCAGTGTAAGGGACTCCTTCCCACACCGCGCTTAAGACGTTCCTGCCTAAAATGTTTGAAATATTCTTAAGGTGGAAGGTTTTGTTTCATAATGATAATAATAATAACAATAATAATAAAAGCAGGGCTGTTGTTAACCTGTCAGGCAACTCGAGGGGAGCTGCAGTTGTATGCACTTCCTGCTGAGCATGTCATTTACTTTTAACCTCAGGTAGGAGGTAGTGACAGGAATTGGTAAGAATAGCGTCCCCAGTGAAGGACGTGTGTTGCCAGTGAGCGCACATTGGAAAACCATTCGCATCATTTATTATTGGCGGCTTTCAGATTTCATTTGAATAGATTTTACCTTTTAACTTGCCCCTTGTAGCAATAGGTATTTTCACGGGGCAGCAGGCCCAGCCAGAGGATCCGGTTGAAAGCAAGGCAGCAGGTTCCAGTGTTCTCTTACTGGACCTCCTGTCAGGGAGTGTGGGTTTCATCTAAGTTTCTCTTTGTAGTCCTGCTTTGATACAAGCTGTGCCTACCACTTAAATGATAACAGGGAGAAGCACAGGCCCCACCGAGATGCAGGAACGGCTGCCTCGAAAGGCAGGGCACAGGTTTCAGAGTGGATCCACCTGTCAGCTTACCCTCTTGAGAAACTCAAGTTTCCTCCTCCCTAAAATGAATGGAATAATGTCTCTTGCAATGTATCTTGTAAGCATTAGGGATCTTTATGGCATATGGCAAGCACTCAGCGTATGGTATGTACAGGCAGACCTTAGGTTAGAGAATGAAAAAAAAATCCACCTTTCAATACAGCAGGTCCTCGAATAACATTGTTTTGTCTAACGTCATTTCCAGTGGATTAGATGCCATGGGGGTGTTCAAACTGCGTCCCATGATGGCTATGAATGTGGCTCAACACCAAACTGTAAATTTACTTCAAACATAATGAGATTTTTTTGTGTGTGATTATGTTTCAAAATGTATTTAACATTTTGAATGGGGCCCAAGACAACCCTTCTTTCAGTGTGGCCCAAAGACACCACAAATTTGGACACTTGGGGAGAACTGAACTCTTATTTATATCGATCAGCCTATGGGAGAATGGACTTCTGTATTGTTTCGCTTTAAGTTGCAGAACCTGACGAAGGCGTTAACTGAGCACTCACTGTGTGTGTTGTATCGCTCGCATGTCCTGATTTTATCCATTTCATCAGCTGTTGGAAGGCCTGCTTGGTGCCAGAGGCAGGTGTGTGAGAGTGAAGGCAACCTCCGGATCTCAGCCCTCAGGAGCTTACAGCCTCACGGCCAGGTCGACAATAAGCAAATACAGCAATAAATATTATAGATTACAAGTTGTGAGGAGTCCTACACAGTTGGTGTAGGTGTGTCTGAAATAACTGCCGAATACTTCAGCTAGGGATAGGGAACTGATTTTTACGTCGAATCCCGAAGAATGATGGGACAGTGCTTTCTGGGCTGAGAGGAGGGCACTGTTAAGGGCTGGGACAGCCCAGGAGCTTGCTGAGAAGCCAGGGACAGGGCTGCTGGACAAGGCTGGAAATGGGGGCAGGTCCAGATAGTGGTGACCTGGTCGGAGTTTGAACTTCTAAATAGACTTTTGAAGGCTTTGTTTAGTACACAGGTGGCAAACACCAAGGCCCATGGGGCGGAATCCAGCCCTCCACCTTGTTTTATCGGGCCTGGCACCTTGTTTCTACCTGGCAGCGGCACCCAGCTTTCACTTAACTGTTAAGGAGTAGTTACATTTCTCCAGTCCTAAAATCACATTCAGCCCTTTGAAGGCAACCTCAAGGCTGATGTGGCCGCCGGTGAAAATGAGTTGGACACCCCTGATTTAGTAGATTGCGTGCACCCTAGAAAGCCAGTTTACCTGTGAGAGAGAGAGGGAGACCGTTGGGTATGCATTTTTATAGGCTTACTGCTAAGTGATTAATGTATCGGAAAGTGGTCAGGGTGGCCACAGGGGGTCATACAGATGGTCAGGCAGGAGATGACAGTAGCTTTTGGTTTTGGGCTGATGGAGAATTGTGGATGGATTTGAGGTGTATTCTGGAGATGGAAACCACTGTCCTTCTGATAAATTGGAGGTGGCAGGTGAATCATGGATGGGATCATCCATGACTTTCAGCTTTCCAGCTTGAGCAGCTGGCAGATGGAAGTATGTGCCATTTTCTGAAATGGAAAAAAAAAATGGGGAGGATTTGGTGCACGGGTGATGGTGTAATGGAAGGAAGCACTCTTTTGAATGTGTTAAGTTTGGAGTTCTTGCTTTACAGCTGAGAGAATTAAGATGTGGAAAGATTTGAGTTACTTGCTCAGAGTCTCATAACATGTCTTGTAAAAAATAGGTGAGTAGGTTGAATTTATATGGAGATATACTAGATTCTCATGATGCATTGCGATATTATAGAATATTCCACATTTTCTGCTCTTCTACATTAAAATGGCAAGTGCCATCTTATTAGCTAGGAATTAAGAGTTTGGAAATAATAGAAAATAACCAAAAGGCTATACAACTTTGCTGTTTGAAATTCAGTTAGTACATTTGGTACTAACTCAGTGTTAGTTCCCAGTGGAAATTGTTTTTAAGAAAAATTTTTTCTATAAAAGTTACTGTCCAATAGAGAGTTTTAGAAAAGGGTGCCCTAAAACACAGAAGGGGGACTCTTTGAACCAAGCTCACTTTGTTTCAGCATTTTTTTAGCATCCTATGGGAGTCTGTGTGTGTAAAGAACCCAGGCTCCGAAAATACACTGGATCTCCCCACCTTCCAAAAGGGAAAAAAAAAATCCCTTGCGTTTATTGTCCCCAAGGAGCCATTCAACCTTGGACAGATTACTGAAGCCCTTGGCTTGTTTCTTCTAGTGCCAAGTGGGAAGGTTTTTTCTGCCCTATGCCTCATTGATAGGATGGCAAGTGTTATTTCTCATTCTCTCCTTGTCAATTTTGGAGCTAGGAGGGAAATTAATTTGTTCTGTGTTTTCACCTTTACCAATGAATTGCTGTATATAGCAATTTTATAGTTTACCTCTAGCTTTAAAATATAGCGATAATGTATTTTAGATATTGGGCAACTGAGGCCCAGAGAAATTTTAATAGAATAACATAGCATTCTTATTGCCTTATGCAGTATTTCTTCTTTCATTGAAATCATAAAATAAAACCGCTTCTCAGAACTATTTCTTTTGCTACTTCCTGATAATCTGCAAAGATAAGAAGAAATAAAAGAATGAAGAGATTACAGAAACAAGAAAATTCGTATATAGGACAATATTAACATAGTAAGAGGTGAAGAAAATGAAGCTGTAAATGATCTAGATGTATTTTATATACATATTTAAATATTTTTGAAACACCTTCAGTTAAATACAAACAAGGTAGATTAAGAAGAAAATGGATTTGCTGTATCTGATTTTTAAGTTCTTTCTTTGGTTGCCTGTTGTGGAACTGGTTTCTATTCTCTGAGGGCTTCTGATCTCCATTTCAAGACTATTTTTCTTCAATTAGGGCCATTTCTACTAAGTAATGAATATTGCTGAAATAGCAAGTGTATTGTTATGAGATGGTTATTAATTTAATCTCCTTCTAAATATGTGTGACAAATTTAGTTATTGTGAAAGAAAAATGTGGGGATCGAATGTGCGACTCCTTCTAGTGTCTGCACATAGCTCTGTGTGCTAACTGGTTTATTTAGCAATGCCTGTGAGCAGGACTATAATTAGTCAGTTCTCTGTTTCCTCCCTAGAAATGGACCAGTTTTGACAAGATGTAGCGCCGCAGTGTGCCCGATGGGATCTGCTCAGTCATGGCCTCCGAACTGTGCAAGACAATCTCTGTGGCAAGGCTGGAAAAGCACAAGAATCTGTTCCTAAACTATAGGAATCTGCACCATTTCCCACTGGAGTTACTGAAAGATGAAGGGCTGCAGTACCTGGAGAGACTCTATATGAAGAGGAACTCCCTCACCACCTTGGTACAGTACCCTGTTGCATTTTTTTAAAAGATTTTATTTATTTATTTTTATTTTATTTTGTTAATTTGTGTTTTTTTTAATTTATTCAATTGTTCAAGTATAGTTTGTTTGTTTGTTTGTTTGTTTATTTGAAGGAGAGGGAGAGAAACCTCAGTGTGTGGTTGCCTCTCATGCGCCCCCTACTGGGGACCTGGCCCCAGGCATGTGCCCTGACTGGGCATTGAACTAGAGACCCTTTGGTTCTCAGGTCTGCTCTCAATTCACTGAGCCACACCAGCGAGGCCCTACTGCATTAAAAAAGTAAAATCATTTATAACGTGGTCCTGACCAAGATATATTTTACATATTTTAAGATATTCAGACTAAGCTGTATGTCCTCTCGTGTCCCATGGACAGTAATATAAATATACATACAAGGGGGTTCTCATGAGCTGAGAATTTATTATCCAAGTCCCTGCCGTCACGTGGTTACAGGAGGAGCTATGTAGGAAAGCCAACTGTTCACGCATGTACCATGGATACACTTAGCCCCTATTCCAAGCCCCTCTTCACTTAGCCTGTGCCTCTGTCTGGGCCCCTGCCTTCTTTGTGTGAGTTAAGCATCCTAGATGATGTCAGAGGTTACCGTACTGAATGGACCAGTTTTTTAGTGAAGACGAGAAAGACCAACAAGAAGGATTTTTTTTAGAGAGTGATTTGGGAAGCTTGATGTAGTGTTTGAGTGCTTTGGGGAAAAAAAAAAGCAAACAAAACAAAACAAAAAACTTCTGTGATTGCTCTGTGAAAATGAAATGATTTTGAATTGGGCTGTCATCCAATTTGTTGGAAAACGTTTTGCCACAAAAGCAACATTTGATTCACTCTTTCCATGTTCTGCAAATAAGCACTTAGAAATAAACTAAATTTCATGGCAAATAAGATTTTAAAAACTACTTGTAATTTTTTCTCAAGAGAATGTCCCAAACTTTTTATTCCCACTGTTTATTAAGAAATTTGGTCGCTCTTTAGAAAGGGTTTGCTTTAGGTGGCCATTTCTGGTTATCTCTTAACCTCACTTTAGATAATTTATGATGCCTTTTTTTCCTTTGCGAACTGACCCATTTTTCATTCTCTTATCTGTATTGGACTTTCCTAAATATCCCTAAGTTTATTTTATTGGCTTCATATATATGGAGTGTTTCCCTGAACAAGTCTTATTGATCTGTGTAAAGTACCTACAAGGATTAGAAAGCATTATAAAATTTACTTGCCTTTGCTGTTTCTGGAGGTAAATGGACATCTCTCTTTTCTTTACAGTGGTTGGCACATTGGTGTATGTGTTATTTTGAGTGCACAGATAGATTTCCTAAATTAGACTTCTCAGTTTTCAGACTCGGACAGCCTGTACATAGATCTAGGATTTTGGTGGGAGTGATCGAAATGACGGCTCCTGGGACCAGAGCTGGTTCCAGAGAGGAGGAACGAGTGACTCTGGAGAACAGAGAGGGGCGAAGAGCCTGTTGATGCTGAAGAACAGATGCTCTAGGCTGCTTGAGTAAGCTGTCTGGAGGGCGGTGGGCGCAGTTTTAGAGAGAGACTTCCGTCACGGAGAAGTTTCCGATGATGGCAAGATGTGAGCGTGCAAGATGGAAGAAGCTGAGGTGGGAGCCCCCCAGGTTTCCACAATCCCCCCCCACAGCCGGAGGCATTGCAAGGGCTGGAGAAGGAATACAGGTGGGAGGCCATAAGCACCGGTTCTTCTCCCAACCTGGAAGCTCTTTGGGGAGGGCAGCACCCGAGGGCCGCAGTCCTGGGAAGGGGGCGTTGCATTCTTTGGTAGGAAGACTTAGTACCAGCAGGTAACGGAGCCAGGTTCCATACGCTTCATTTCTTTGGACCACAGGTCCTTTATTATAGAAGAAAAGGCCAGGAGAGACTTGGAAGGGGGAAAAAAAACAACAAAAAAACAACCCAACCTGGAAGCAAAATAGGTCTGCCAGCTTCCTCTCTCAGTGAGCAGAGCAGGCAGGAGGCTCTCCAGGGGACGGACCTGCGCGAATACTGATGGCGCTGTCACCAGTTGCCAATTTTATTTATAGATGTTAATGGACTAGAAAGAGGCATCTAAGTTGCATGACTTAGCAACGAGAGCAGATGGATCCTGATTAAACAATGACCCTATGCGAGAAGAGAAAACAACTTAAAAATGAGATTGAAGGGGAAAAATGGTCCGTCGATCACCTCCCTGAATCGGGGTGGGGATGAGGCACAGATGGCTTTTCTTTCCTGTTGGCCCAGGAAAAAACGTTCCTGACCTTCTCCACCAGATACATACAGGCACATCATAAAAGGATACAGGCAGTCAAAACACAAAGGCACAGTCCTGGCCTGTCTGGCTCAGTTCGTTGGAGCGTTGCCCTGTAGCCAAAAGCTTGCAGGTTCAATCCCCGGCCCAGGTGTATATAGGAGGCAACCTGTTGATGTTTCTCTCTCTCCCTTCCTCTCTTTCTAAAAGAAATTTTTAAAAAATCCATGGAGGAGGCTAAAAAGAAAAGTTTAAAAGTTAAAATTAAAAACATTTTAATTAAAAATTAAAAAGCACAAAGAGATGTTTAATTTCCAAGAGGAGTGATAGAATATTGATCCTCCTTACCTATTTAATTGGAAAAGACTAACACTTAGCGTCGAAGATTATTACTGAACAATGATCAAAGCAACGAGGAGAAGATACTCTCACATGTGGTTTGCGGGAGTGGAAATCGACCTGATGTTTTTGGCAGGTAGTAGGACCACAGGTAGCCAAACTTTACATGTGTGTGCATTTGAATCAGCATTTGTACGTGCAGGAATTTATTCAACAGGCAAATGAACAAAGTTGCTCATGGGAGCATTGTATACAATGCAACATTGTGAAATCCTAAGTGTTAATCAATGAGATTGCTTAAAATCTGATAGCAGTTGGCACTGTGTGAGTCTTTCCGAAGTGCCAGGCACTATTTTAAGCGATTTGCATGTATTGGTTTATGTAATCCTGAAGACAGTCCTATGAGGTGGGCACTATTGTCCCCACTTCATAGGTGACTAGACTAAGGCATGAAGAAGGTGTACATCACACTTAATAGTAATGGTAGCTGTGGGTGCGGACGGGGCCCATGAGTGGGGTGGAGACCTGGAAGAAACAAGTAACTTAAGTATTCGCAGTGAAAGGAGAAGGTTCTACTAATTCGTTTGGTTTATACTCTTTTCAATAAGGATATATAATTTTTTTTACCATTAAGTATTAACTAAAGTCAGGTAACTGGAATATAGCACCTTCTAGATCTAATCCGGCTCTCAAATCTTAATCGGTGAGTCTAAATACTCGGATCCCAGTGACAGTGATGCCTGTATTGCTGCTGTGTTGACATCGGTCATCCTTGCAGCTGGTGGCTTGGCTGAGGGGGCGAGGGGTTGAGGACAGGGAAGGCACGCAGCCACACCCTCTGCCCACACTGACCTTGAAGGAATAGGATCTGGGTCAGATGGGCAGGGAACACCTTGAAGGGAAAAGCAGTAAGTTAAGGAGGTGGTCACCAGGGCATCATGCCATTGAACGTGGCAGAAGGAATCGGGAGAGCAGATTACGTTGTGCTCTCGCTGGTCTGGTTCATCCTGGTGCAGGGGCATCTCGCTGTTCCCTGATCTGACAGGCCCTTGCAGCGCCGCTTACTCTCCACTCACTTGGTCGTGACGTCCTGTGACGCACAAAAGTTTTCAGTTTTGACAAAGTCCAATTTCATCTATTTGTTCCTCGTGCTTTTGGTATCATATCTGTAGCCACGTTGCCAAATCCACATGAATGAAGATTTACCCCTGTGCTTCCTCTTACGAGGGTTATGGTTTTGACTGTTTTATTTAAGTCGTCAACCCATTATTAGTTAATTTTCGTGCATGGTGTGAGAGGTAGAGGTCCACCTTCCTTCTGCTTTTACAACTGCTGTAAGGACTACAATGCGTTTGATTCCCAACTTCTTTGAAATGCGCTGTTAGAGGCCAGGATGGAGCCGGTTTGCCAGATGCCGGACCCTCACGGTTTAGGACAGCACAGCTCTTTCTCCCTCACACCGCACATTCCTGGGGACTCTGGCCCATTCGGGGAGAAAGGCTAACGGCTCCCACTGTCTGGAGGGGACCGTGGACCATTTGCACACAGGCTCTGGAAGTCCTCCACTTCGACGGAATTCCACCGGCCGAAGCCAGTCCCTTCTCTGTGCCCGGCCAGCTTCCAGCGAGAGGTGCAGGCGAACCAGGTGCCCAGAGGGAGACGCAGGTGGTGCAAGTGCCCACCACAGGCACCGCTGAGCCACCTCGCACTGCACTGGGAGCATGTGTTCCAAGATACCCAATCTGAAAACATTTCCTTTTAAGGGCATTAAAGGTTTCTCTTAAAAGTACATGGCAAAGCATCGTTGATTCTAAAGTGGAGATATATTTTATACCAGCGGTGCTTGCTGAAGTTTTTCTTTATTTGTACAGAAAAACTCTTTAGCTAAACGGTAGTGTGAGATGTCATGAAGATAATTTTGGCTTAATTTAGAAACCAATTTTCAAGTGATTTAGTAGGAAATATACTCAAGGGATTTGAGTACAGATTATTAAAATTTTCATGTCAGAACTGTGAAAAAAGAAGTAAATAATAGTAATAACAGTTTTCAAGGGTGCTTTTACTTTATCAGGATTTTTTTAATTAAAAAACTTAAAACATAACGGAGTGTAAATTCTATGGATCAAGATAAACTAGTTTGTGTGACATCCATAATCCAGCATCCGAGTTCAGTAACCCACAGAATAACAAAAAATTTGGTGTTAATTTATAGTTATCGAGGCTCGTACTTTACATAAACTATATGGAAATGGAAATGTGAAAATGTACAAATTCTCCCCGATTACTTAGCCTCATCACTAAAATGTGCCAATAGGAAGCAGAGAATATTGCAGAACGCCTGTGGTTGCTAGGCAGAGCCCAGGCAGCAGACTCCCTGTTTACCAGGCTTTGGGGACAGCTACTAATATGTCAGTTTTTTTCCAAATCCCAATTCTAATGAATTGCAATTTTCCAAGGTCATTGTGCTTATTTAAAAATAAAACTGCAATGTACTTACATATTAATAAAGCCAATAGCGACACACTGTTGGCAGCAGGAACTTCATTCAGTGCCTCACAGGGTGCGTAGCTTTATGACACACACACAAAAAGAGAGACTGGTTTGTCCTGGAAGGATTAGAATGCTGCGTGATGGAGCCAGGGATGCACCTGCAAAGAATGCCCCCCCAGTGGTGTAAGTTAGCCAGGTGTCGGACTGCTGTTGTAGCAGACAGTACTGGATTAGGGTCTCACATTGTTTTCTGGAGAAGTCTTTTCAAGGCACAGCTATTATTAAGCCTCACCCCCACCTCCCAGTTCTCTGGTTTTTCTAGGATACTTTGTTTAGAAGCCAATAAATGGAAGTATCTGTTCTTAATCAGGGAAGACAATGGCGCTAAAAGAAACATCTTGGGGATTTGGACAGGCCCAAGAGTAACATCTGAGGAAAAATGTCTCATGAAGGACCGACTTCCTTGCATATATCGATACTGCAATTTGCGGGGAGAAAGGAATCACAGCTTCCAGCATTTGAAAACTAAAAGTAGTTTTATCAAAAGCGGGTACTCAGATCACAATTCGATTCCCAGTCAGGGCACATGCCTAGGTTGCAGGCCAGTTCCCAGCAGGGGACACATGAGAGGCAACCATAGGCTGATATTTCTCTCCCTCTCTTCTTCCCTTCCCCTCTAAAGATAAATAAGTAAATTTTTTTAAAAAAGTGGGTACTCAGTCAATGCTTCATTGACCTCATAAAAATGTTCATATTCAGTGTTATTTGGTCATCATAAAAGGGCAAGGATGTGTGCGTGGAAGCAGCTTGGGATACTGTTGCCGAGTGTTTGAACACATCAGTATCCCAACATGAAATGAACAACGCCCTTTCCTTTTTAGAAATGAACCATTGGATTTCCATTGTGTTCGGGATTTTTTACGAAAATTTTCCCTCGGTATAAAATATAAACCCATATATTTTTAATGTCTTCCTTGCCACTCTCTGGAAAGTCATTATACACATTCATACCTGATGGTCCAGACATACTGAATTATGCAGCAAGTTATATACTGTCTGTCCTACATTTTTTAATTTAATTTTTTGACTTCAATTATAAAGGACACGTGCTCATTGTTAAAAATTTAAACCATACAAAAGTAGAGGGAGGGTAGCAACGCGGGTCCTTCTCCTAATGGCGGTCACTGTTACAAAGTTTCTGTAGGAAAGATACTGTTACAAATCTAAAACTTTCCAGCCCCTGATGTTTTTTTTTTTTCTATTGATACAATTGTTTTTATAACAGGAGTTTTGGGACTACTCTTAGGGAGTTAAAGCAGAATAGATTGTATTTGCAATTTTCCAAACATACTTCACTACTACTTCTTTTCCTCCTCTTCCTCCTGCTTCTCTCCCTCTCTCCCTCCCTCCCTTCCGCCCTCTCTTCCTTTCTCTCTTCTTTTCGAATATTGTTTCTTGCGCCTAGAAAAGCTCTCCTCCTCCTTGCTCCAGCACAATCTCTGACATTTGTATTTGTCTTTTAGGACTCGGGTCAGAAGTAATTTTTCCTTAATAGTCATTCCTGACTCCTTGTTATTGCTACCCAGCATACCTCACAATATGTTTGAAGGGAGATTTAAAACAATTACCCCCGACTCAGTCTTGATGACTTGTAGCTTTGTGTTCCAATAAGTCCGAACCCTGTGCCTGCGACCCTGTGTGTTGACCTAGGCTGGCAATCATTCTTGGGGCCTTACCTCATTCTTGGGGCCTCCAACGGAGGGGGCCTGCTGCAGCCTCTTAGTGGCATTCGTCTGGGTTATTTTCACGGAAGAGCCAGTCTTGGCAGGGTTCTGACTTCGCAAGGGACCTGGCCCCCCTCCCTTCGTCTCTTCCCAGGGGGCTGTTCCTCTTCCTGCGTACCCACCACACGCAGACTACTTCCCCCAACTCCTGCTGTTTATCCTGAGCTTAGTCAGGTCTCAGTTTCTGGACCCTGGGCATTTCCCCCCTTTCTTCTGAAGGACACAGTTGGGGTGTTTTGCAGGGGAGTGTTAGTTTCCTAGGGCCACTAGCTATGCACAAGCTTGAAACAACAGAAATTCATCCTCACAGATTCGGAGGCCAGCATCCCAGTTCAGGAGGTGGGCAAAGGCTAGGTCCCGCTCAGGGCGCTGAAGGAGAATCCGCCCTTTCTCCTAGCTTCTGGGGGTGGCCCATGGTTTTCACTTCTTCCATGACCATGGCGTACAAGGCTTCTGGTTTCTCAGAGGACATTGACTTAAAGTGTTCAAATTTGTAAATTTACATTGTACAGTCTATATAAACATAAGTCCAGACCTGTTGATTTATTATTTTCTCAAAGTTTACAGCCCTCCAAAAGATAAGTTTTGTATTTAAGCTATTTGGAGATGTTTATACATTTTTCAAAACTAAAATTTAATTCTGAGTTTTTAATTTGCAGCCAGAAAACCTTGCTCAGAAGCTTCCAAACCTGGTGGAACTGTGAGTGTGTTTATTAATATTTTTAAAAATGTGAATGAAAATAATTTTAAGTTATTTGAAATAGTAGGAAATATCATCCTAATGTGTTATTATTTTTTAGCATCGTGATTATGGTAGGTCTGTGGTTCTGCTAAACCTGAAAATATTTTAAAGTATTTTAACCATTTAAATTTGTGTTTTCATGATGTCGCTTCAAGGTAGTGAAGATGATGAAAGGTATTTACAGTTTTTCTGAGCCAGCGTCTGTCACAGCATCGTTCTGGAGAGTCCATGGAATTGGAAACATGTGTTATTGTTACTGCCATTTCGTGTGATACTTGATATAAACAGTCAAACACTATAAAAGACTTAAAATAGAGTGTAAAAACCTCGCTGCCTACGTCCTCCACACTTCATTTGTTTTAGTTCTCTTGACTATTATCTTCATGATGCTAGATAATATGTTTACCACTTTGTCTTTTGGTGCATCAACTCTGTGTGCTTCAGTTTGAACAGATTGTTATTTCTGGGTCTTCAGGGTCAGTAATATTTTATCTTTTGGTGTCCAATTTGCTGTTAATCCCACCCAGTGAGGTGGTTTTTTAAAAAATATTTTATTTATTTATTTTTAGAAAGAAGGGAAGGGAGGAAGAAAGAGAGGGAGAGAAACATCAATGTATGGTTGCCTGTGGGAGCGCCCCCTACTGGGGACCTTGCCTGCAACTCAGGCATGCGCCCTGACTGGGAACTGAACTGATGACCCTTTGGTTCTCAGGTGGCCACTCAACCCACTGAGCCACACCAGCCAGGGCCTACCCAGTGAAATTTTGATCTATAGAAGTTCTATTTATACCTTCCTATTTCTCTCACAATGTTCCTATTTTTGTTTAAATATTATCGGAATATAGTTATTACAGCTGTTTTAATGTCCTTGCTTGCTATTCCATCATCTCTGTCTTACAGGGTCTATTTATGTTAACTTGCTTTTATTGTGATTATTGATCACATTTGCCTGATTCTTGACACATCTAATACTTTCTGACTGGGTGCCGGACTGTATATACTTCACGTTGTTGAGTGTCTAGACTTTGCTGTCTTCCTTCTTCACTCTGCTTTGGTCCAGCATGTGGGTATTTGCAGTTAACTTTCATCCTGTGTGGCTTGACTTCACACTTCGTTAGGACGGGTCTAGAGTAACCTCTCCTCTAGGGGTAGTTTTGTCCTATTACTAAGGACCTAGGCTTGCTGGGACCTCTCGAGGGTACCCCACCCCGGCCATCAAGGGCCGGGTTTCCCTGCTGCCTCAGAGAAGGCACTTGAATGCCTTCTAGCCCTGTCTGAGCTCAGTGGATCATTTACCTGATAACTTTTCAGTTGCATTTCAGCCGAAGTGCATTTTAAATTTAGCTCAGATCAAATAATCCCTTATTAAATTTCTGGGGGGTTATTTGTTTCTCTTTTTCGGTGGCACCCTGTCCCCAGACCTCTTCCCCACCATCTCCAGCTGCCTCTGCTCCCTGAACTCCGAGACTCCATACTTTGTGTGGGAACCCACAGTTCGCCCCTGGCAGGAAGCTAGGGATGGTACGGCTCCCCTCACTTGTTTCCTTCCTTTTGGGGAACTTAGTCCTGGTTACCTGTTGTCAGTATTTGAAAATAATTGTTTCGTGTATTCTGGCCTCTTTTCTTGATGCTTACAGCAGCAGTTGGGTAAATCCGGCCCCTGTTATTCCATTATGGCTGGAAGTAAAAGTCCTGTTTCTTTGACATTTAAGAAAAACTTGACCTTTTTATTTTAGAGCAATTTTCTATTTACAAAAAAATGGTAAAGACAGTGCATAGAGTTCCAGTATATGTCTCCAACCACTGTTAACATCTTCCAATTCCATGGTATAGTTGTTAAAACAAAGAAACTGACACTGGCATATTACTATTAAGCAGTGTCCATATTTAATTTTTACAAAAGCCCCTCCCAAACCACCTTCCAAAGTGGCTGCACTGGCTCGCATTCCCCCCCCACAGGGGATGAGGGGCCCCGAATTATGTGAGTAAAAGAACACGATGAATAGTGGTTACCCTGAAACACCAACATTGCAACCACTCTGGAATTTAAAAAGTCAGGTAAAGAGAGATGGCTGAAACTGCTGAGCTTGTGATCACAAACATCTAAGGATAACTAATAATTATAACAACAATAACGATAGCACTCCTGGAACTCGGTTCGGAGAACTTGGCGTGTATTAGCTCATTTAATTCTTACAACATCCCTGTGTTAATCATCAGTGCTATTACCGTCTGCTTCTCTAGATGCAGAAGATGAGAGGTTTACATTTTCCCCCCTTGTCACAGGGCTATGAAGGGGCAGGCAGCATGGCCCCAGATCCACCCTGCCAGCAGTGACTCTCAACCAGTCACACATCAGAATGACCTGAGAAGTCGAGGTGGTGCAGAAGGTGCTGGGCACCGATAGTTTGAAGACCCCCTGTGATTCTAATATGTAGGCAGGGTTGGGAATGAGTCGTACTATTGTATACCACATCTTCATTATAGTGCAGATACATTTATTATGCTGGAGTATGCGTTCAGATTTCAACTATAAGTGAATGCTTAAGTCATGTTTCGATTTGGAGATTTTTAGGTCCTTTTTTTTTTTTTATAGGCAGTCCTTGAGCTGAAGCCCATATTTTCTGGCATTTCGAGCATCAGTTTTCTCTTTATTTTGCTGTCTAGACACTCTGGCTCTTGTGTAGCAAATGCACACGAGTATGTTTGTATGTGTACAGACCAATTTATATTGTTAGAAAGTAAAGTCCCACTGAATAAATGTAAAGGTCAAATTGGCTCGATTCAAAAATTCATGAGCTGGGTAGCATCTCATCTAACAGACAGAGAAACGAGAAGAGCTGCAGAGAGGGAAGGGCTTTTCAAGGCAGAAAGAGGGTGGGAAAAGGAAGTGGCTTAGCAAAGAAGGCATTGTCACAGCCAAGGCCACCAAGGTCTGGGAGGCGGCAGGGGCCTGTCAGGCCGGGTGCCTCGCCGTGCTGGCCAGGAAGTTCCAGCCCCACTGGGCATGATGACAGCCCTGGGAGAGGCTGAGACTGCAATTAGGTCAAGTTCGGAGGCTCCGTGTGGGTTTTGTGACATCATTTTAGCACAAGTGACTCCATTCGGGGCCTGTTGTCTCTTTTTAAGCAACATTTAGTGTTTTGGCCTAAAAAATTGTAAAGTGAAATATTTCCCCCTAAAGTTAACGTTTAAGGAATATTGATTTTTAAGGTGTGGAATCATTTTATATACACAAAACAAGGAATAAAATATATCATAAAATTATTTAAGTGTTTAAATTGTGTTAGACTATAAATAAATTTAATCCAACACAGAATAATCTTCTTGAATGTATTAATTATCTATCTTTCCTATTCTGCATCATTGACATTTTAACATTTGATATCAGACTTAAAAATCTACAAGAATATTTCAAAATACTATTTAAAAACACTGTGAAGATTGATTGATAGGGTGCAACAAATAAAATGATAGATTTGAAAGTAAAGTATCAAAATCTAGTTTTCTTGTCTCAAAACCAATGATGCAAATTTATTTTTAAAATTATTGCTATATAATCTCTAGTGGTCATTGTTTTGCTCTGGTTAGTTGGCTGCTTCCGTTGCACAAAATCGCCACCAGAGGGTGCTAAAGATACTTCAGTGGGAAAAGGGTTCTGTGTTTAGGCTGCCTGGACTTGTCAGCCCTGGTCTTTTTTTTTTTTGAGAAAAGAATTTGATTCATGTTTGTAAAATTCCTTTTGCTGTGGAATAAATTCTGTGCCTTGACGGTTGATCATTTCTGCTGTAAATGATAAGCATTAAATCTCTGCAGAATTCTTGTATCTCAGGAAATATCTTTGCTGAAAAATTCTTGCTGCCCGGAAATGCCTTTGATAAAATTATCCATTAGAAGCTAAAAGTTGCATGTTTTCTTTACACAATAGTGCTGGTTTCCCTTTACATAATAACTGTATTTCTGAAAACCTGAATAATTTAAAACCTAATAGAGAAACTAGTCATTTATTTGTTTTATAAGATTGAAAAAATACCTCATAATTTTTCTATTGCATATCTTTTATTTTAAAATAGCAACTAAATCAATAAATAGTTTTAATGCTTGCAATTCTAGCATAACATATTATTTTAAAAGTATTATTAGTTATCTGTGATGGCCCTGTATTTTGTTATGTAAGATGTGAAAAAAAGTTTAAGTAAAATATGAGCAAGGCGTGAAAGAAAGTTTTCTTTATATTTGATACATTTCTAAGTGAGCATTTTACAAACCCACTCTGTAGCAGAAGTACTGATTTATAACAGCTTTTTTTTTTTGTCTTGCCCCCAGGTACCTTCATTCAAATAACATTGTTGTGGTTCCAGAAGGTAGGTAAGCACACTCGCAATTTTCAGCGAGTAGACACCATAGTTTAAGCTTTCCTTTATAATAGTAGAACAGATAGTCTCTTTAGACCCATTTTGGCTGGTGCATTAGTGAATTTTCATGATAAAGTATCTTTAATTTATTTGTTTCAAATCTTTTCCCCTAATGAGTAAATCCAGTTAAGAATTATAATTAAATAAAAAAGTCCAAAGTGGTTATTCTGATTAGCTAAATTATTATTAGGTATAATGTTGTTGGGTAAATAATAAAATAAGTTCTAAATTCAATAAATCCAGTTAAGAATTTTGGTTAGATTAAAAATGACTTATATATTGTTTTGTGAGCTATTTATTCAAGCAATATTTTATATTGTTTTTAAATTTTTTATCTGTGCTCTTTTTGAAGTTATTATATTATGTTGTGGTAGAAGTCTTATCAGTTCCATAAAATTTAGTTCTGTGTATGTTTTTATCATTTTGTGAGCAACTGAGATAGTGATATTAAGTACCATATTTTGCTATGTATAATGCACACTTTTTTTGCCCAAATTTTTGAGGGAAAAATAAGGGTGCGCATTGTACACGAGTAATATATATATCTATATAGATATAGATAGATAACCTCTATAGACACAGATTTAGTATATAAAACATGGGTGCGCATTATACACGACAAAACACAGGTATATTTTAACTTGGAGTACTTGCATTAAAGGTTTGATGTAACACGTGGGTCAGACTGATTTTGCCTTTACCCTTCTCTTCTCTTTGAAGCCATTGGGTCCCTTGTAAAACTCCAGTGTCTGGACCTTAGTGACAATGCCTTAGAAATTATTTGCCCAGAAATTGGTCGGCTGAGAGCTTTACGTCATCTTCGACTAGCTAACAACCAGCTGCAATTCCTACCTCCAGGTAATCGGCGTCTGTGGCGCACAGTAGCCCCTTGTCTCTTACCGATCTGTTTTTGTTCACTTTTCTCACGGTGTGGCCAGGCAGTGGGCTTCGGGTGTATTTGTATTCGGTTGTCCATTTGTTTAAATAGGAAACTGAGACATGATGGGGGAGATGTGGCAGAGTCTTTTCCCCGGTGCAAACACAAGAAACTGGCATTTATGTTTTTGAGCTACAATCACCACAGCTGTGCATGGGGCTTCGGACCACTGCTTGGGCAGAATAGTTTGCACAAGCACCTGCTTCAGTCCTGGAGTTCGGTTCTGAGTTTCACAGCAGAGGAGTTGGGCGGACTCGGCGTGATGCAATCATTGTAGCATTGAAAAGGCAGATACAGTGTTTTCTCTCCTTCCCCCAGGAGATAATGGGTGTCCACCGACTTTGAGTTCATTAGAAAGCAAACTCTGAGTTCAGTAGCACAGTTTAAGTTTGGTCCTCACGTCGTCGGTTTTGCCCACTGAGCACTCTGTTAGGTGTGGTGCACCCACAGATGGCACCCAAATGCCGCGTCCTCTGGGGTGCCTTTAGTCCCTGGGACTTTCTTTTGAGGGACATCCCGAGACCCTCCTTTGCAAGGCCATACATTCTGCTGTCACATGTCACCTCCCACATTTAAAAAAGTGACATTTAAATAACACTTTCATGTATTACATGAAAGTTCCTGTGCATTCAAGAAAGAGCAGGGGAAAACACAGATGACACATGGGCTGGGGTTATTTCTATTTAATAACTCAGGAAAACCACCCAGACTTTGAGTGTATCCGAGTGGAATGTGTGGCAACCGAATCACAAATTGCTACCTGTGCTGGAGCTTTGTGGTCCCGTGAGAATGTTAAAAACTGATCACGTTAAATCCATGAATGAAATAGTCTAGAATATGTCTCTATGGCCTAAAAAATACTTTCTCCAAATCTTTTCGAGCACAGACATTTCTTAATGAATACATAACTGATTAATTTTTAGACTTCAGGCGCTGGCCTTCACATATCGTTTCACTATTGTCGACAGAAACGGCACTAGCACAGTCATTTTTTAACCTTGTATAATGCCTATCTTCTTCCATCTCTGTTAATATAAGGATTGTCACTATGATATAGGAATGTGGTCTTTCCTTTAGAGTGTAGTGGATACAGTTAGGCTCAATGGTGTTCCATCATTCCAGCTTTGTCAAGTTTATATATTCACATATTCAGGAAATTAGATTCTCTTTTGGAAATTACCTAGAAGATGTCTCCTTAAAATAACACTTTAAATGTTCGTAGTTTCATGTCTGAAACACAGAAAGGTAGATGCATGGCTATGGTCCTGAATTGGTAAGCCCTGGCGGGTACAGCCCAGTAACCTGTGAGAATGTAATTCCCTGCCGGACCATTGTTCTGTGCATTCTATTATGCTCTCTTCCTGTAACGTAAGGCCCTTGCTGGGAGAATGCGGCCACTTCCTTCCATTATGTGCCCTCAGATGTTAAGGAGGCGCGGCCGCCAGCGGTGACTGCTTCCTCGTCACCAGGGACGGGCACGGCTTCCTGACGCCTTTCATGTAATTTTTAACTTACGTCTCACCTGCTGCTTCACAGATCTGTGGCATGTACTCCTGGTTTATTTCCTTCACTTATTTCTGTTGTCTGTGTTCGGTTTTGCTTGCTTTGAGTAGAACCATAGGCAGTAATAGCAATGTATTTTGAATAGAAACTTTTGATCAAGCCATATATAGATTTTTTTTTTTTTACTTCCTAGGCCACCCTGAATAGCAGTGGACTAGGTCTTACAAATTGTTTGATTCACTTTATACATCTCTTTATGAGGTGGTTTCAGTGTTATAATTTGAGGGGCTAGGTGCACCTCAAATGTTTGATCATGTTTGGGCACATACTACGGAAATGTGTTTTAATTATAGTGAAAAAACTGTGAGGGGCTGCCTCGCTGTCTCCACTGGATGACAACAGACGCCGGCGCCGTCTGGCTGACCACCGCCCCGCCCCCCGCACAGTCCATGTGGTCACGTGTAGACGTCTTACGAGTCACATTTCCGCAAAAGACTTAACGTTTTACTGTGCGTCTTTGTCCTGGTTGAGTACCCTTTACGTGTAAGATCAAAATCAATTTCTAAAATGTAAAAAATGTTAGAGTGCATTTAAACGTTCGAAACAGTTGCAATACAAAGATCTAGCGCATATGGAGAGTTTTAAAACTGGGACCCAAGGATGAACCACAGGGGTGTCGCCAACGCCCTCTGTCGGGTGCGTTTCGGTGTTTGTCACGTGGATGTATCGCTGTGGAGAAGGTCCCGTGTCTTCCTCCGTTTCTCCAATGGATCCGTAACTCGTGTGCCTTCTGTCGGGTCGTCTGCCCGGCCCCGTTCTCCGGGATGCCCCTTCCCTCATTCCGTTGGATTGGAGCGCAGTGCCCTCTTCCACCCTGGGACATTGCTTTCCCCCCACCACGGATTGGTCCTGGCACAGCCGCCTTTCACCTTTCACCGGGCAGGATCACCTTTTTGGTGGTGGTGGGATTTTGGAAGAGACTATCGAAGGGGAAGGTAAGAAAGAGCAGAGGGGCGGAGAAAGAAAATCAGTCTCTCCCCGGGATACCGCGCAGCCCCGGGAGGTGCCGGCAGCAGCCTCGTAGGTTGAGGAACAGAAAAAAGAGCAGGGTGAAGCGGGTCACAGAGAAAGATGGAGGCAGAGGCTTTCTGTGTTTTCTTCGCTGTCCCACTCTCCGGCGCTGTTCTTAAGGCCTGTAGGCTTGGTGCTTCCGCCAGCTCCAGTTGGCTTCTGTGCGTCGCCACCCACGGAGCTCCAGGCGGCGGAGCCGCCCCAAAGGCCTGAAGCAGCCGTCTGGGCTTCATTGTATACGGAACTCTCCTGTTCACTTACCTCTTATCCTCTGAGACTGCAGAGCTCTTGGGGGGGGGGGGGGGTCCTGGCGGAGCAATAGCCTGGTCGGTATTACGGGTGGGTGGTTCATTCTGTCACTTGTTTTGCTTTGTTTTTTTTGCAATATACTTTGCGCCTTTTCTATTGGGTGTCTTTTTTGTTTGTTTGCCGAGTGCAAGTAGCTTTTTGGGAGGTGCAGAAACACGGGTGTGGACTGCCGATGGGACCCAGGAATGTGAAGGCAGGCTCTAGAGGACGTTATTAAGCCAGCTGGGGGTGGGGGTGGGGGCAGAGTGTCTCCTCTCTCCCCTAGGGACTCCAGCCGGGCTGGAGAAAATTCACATGAGACAAATTAACTGGGCAACAGCATACAGAGTTCATTTAATATTTTTACCTGTGCACAGAGCCTTCGTAAGAAAAGCAAAGGCCCAAAGAAGCAGTTGGAGCCAAAAGCTTGTAGACTAGATCGGACAAAGGGTGGTAAATCGTTGCAAGATGGAGGGGCGGGGACCAGGCCAGTGAACTGGGGGGAAATGGCTGGGAAGAGAAAGGTCAGTGTAAGGGGGTTTGTGTGTACACGTTCCCCTGGGCCTCGACTCCCACCTCTGGTGATGAGAATGTCTTCCCCGCGGTACAGGATGTGTGCCTTTTCGAGGGACTTGTATCTCGTGCTTTCAGGAGGAAAAGGGAAGGTCAGAGTGCCCTTCCTGCACCTCCTGTTTTTCAGCATCTTTAAATCAAAATAATCAGCACGCCAGAGGGGCGTATATTCCGTAGCACGCGCTGACAGTCTTCACCAGCCACCGTGACTGGCAGCCAGAGCCCAATCTCCCCTGAAGCGCAAACCTCAGGATCCCTCCGCTGAAGCGCTGGCAGGAAAGCAGAAAACGCTGAAACATCCACTCCCAGACCTTAACGGGTTGCGAGTTGCATGGCCGGGAGAGCGGGTGTGAACTCCCTGGTTCTTCTGCAGGGCGGCACGCCTGCCTGCACACGTGTACAGAGCCTGTGGCTCTGCAGCCCCAGGGATGGAGAGGCTGGCCGCGGAGCACTGGTCGGAGAACTCCGGAGCGAGCACGTGGAGCTCACCACTGGGATCATTCATCGTTGGCAGACATCCTGCAGCGCCGCCTGCAGGCGGTGCGCGGCCCGCCTGTGTTAGCATCTTCCCGACTTGGGCCACGCGCCGCAGCATGACGGACAGGCCAATATAACAGCTTGGGCCGGACTTGGGTCCAAGATCAATACATAATCGTCACTCCCTAAAATAATCTCCTCCATAAAATTACCAAAGTCATGGTCTTTGAGAACCATGAGAACTTTGAAACCAGTAAGACTGTTTTCTTTGTTTGCTTTTTCATTAAATTTATTGGGGTAACTGTGGTTAATAACATTTCACAGGTAAGAAGCTTCACCAGACAAACAAAAGGTGAGAAGTTTACTGCTACGAGACCTGGATTATAAGAGATGTCAGCAGGAGCTCTTCTACCTGAGACGAAAAGATCAAAGGATATAAAACTGAGTCAGATGACAGACAGGTGACGGAAGCAGGAAATTGCAACTCTTTCAGAATAGGGCATCAAACAGTTATAATCGAAAGGTTAAAGGGCAGAAGCACTTTTTAAAAGACTATTCCAGTGAGGAGGGGAAAGGACTGAGCTTGTGCAGGTGGATGGAGATAAATGCAATTGGGGAAAAAAGGGACCATTGTATGCAGACTGGTTTCTCTTTAAGGCTCGTCCGCAGCGGAGTCCTTGTCCTCTGTGCCCCTGCGATGGGAACGGCTGGGGACCTCTTCCCTTTTAAAATGGGCTTGTCACCTTCGGAAGCTGGCTTAGGTTTCTTGTACACAATATCGTTTTCAATGGCTACCTAAAGCCATCTTTAGGCTTCATCTCTTCATCTTTGCGCTTATCACTTGATAATTTGCCACAATGTAGGGTTTTAAAAATATCCTACTTGGGATTTTTTTGTTGTTGTTATTGTTTTTAAATATTTTTCTGCTCCATTTTCCCTCTTTAAGGGACTCCAGTTACACACATTAGATCACTTGATGTTTAGTCATGGGTCACTGAGGCTTTGCTCT